AGTTGAGCACGAAGCTCCTATCTAATGGCAGACATGCCATCTTATATAGAACCTTCGTTCCCATGTGGATCTGAGGATCCCCCAGATCCCTTGTCTGGATCCTGGGATCCTCAAGATCCCAAGATCCATCACGTGACTACATACAATGAAATCCTTGGATGGAGCAGCAAGCCTGCCCCACCCTTCACTTGCTATAAGAGCCCAATGATAGTGCTTAACCTGTCAGGACGCCGCCTGGTCTTCACTCGTCACATGCTAACACGTGATTCGTGACAACTCTAGGATAGAGTATTATACTCTAGAATAGAGTACTATACGCTAGAATAGAGTATTATACTCTAGATTATACTCTAGGATAGAGTATTATACTCTAGATTATACTCTAGGATAGAGTATTATACTCTAGACTATACTCTAGAATAAAGTACTATACTCTAGATTAAAGTATTATACTCTAGAATAGAGTATAAAACCTTATAAGTATTATTATAATATTTATATATTATTTTATATAATCTAGTACTTATATATAAGTATTTATAGTTTAACTTACTACCTTATCTTCTCTAGTTACCTAGATATTAATAAGAACTAATATCTTTACTTTCTTATAAATACTTTTATAAGTACTTAGTAAACTAATAAGTATTCTTACTTTTAAATAGGTTCTAAGTTTATATTTCTATAAAGTAGCTCGATATAAATTTCTATATAAAAGATTAACGAATAAAGACTTAAACGATTTCGTCACTACCTAATTACTAGGATATATTTATAATAACTTTATAACTGTGAGAGGCCAGACCTTGAACAGCTCAAAGGTGTGGTTTCGAATATTGAATTAAGAAGTGCGTGAAGACTACATACATGCGAGCTCTNTGGTTTCGAATATTGAATTAAGAAGTGCGTGAAGACTACATACATGCGAGCTCTTCCTCTATATATAGAGAGAGGAAGAGCTTCCTGAATATTCCAAGAAACTTGCAAGAAACTTGAATGACGAATACATGATGTCAGAAGAACAAAACAAGAAAGTGTGGAATGGTGGAAACCTGTTTGGCGGTGGGGTAATGGCCAGTGCTAAGCGGGGACTTTGGTCAGTGCTTAGCGAGGGCATGGCCCGAGCCTCCATCATGGGTTCCAACCCTCACAATAACTCTTATCTAAGAAAGTCTATATAAGGTAGGGGAAAGTAGTATTATATAAAATATAGAGAAAGTAGTAATCTTATAGTTCGGTTCTTACGTATTAAAACCGTAAGAATTGTAATTAATAGATAAGATAGAAGGCTTCCTAGTATATCTTAGTTAAAAAATATATAACTCCTATTTAGAATTATACGGTATAGTAACTCACACTTATACGAAAAGAATTATATAAGAAACAAAGCTTATACTAGGATCTTTATAGAAATTCAGCGCTTACTTTCACGTACCCTCTCTCTCTCTTTCGTATATTACTCGCTAATTAATTTCCAAATAACAAAACACAGAAACCTGTAATGATAGTATACGAAAAAGCGGAGGTGAGTCAAGTGACATCCACGGACAGTAAGATAGTACAACAATAACAATAGTTCAAGAAGAAACTATAGTGCCAAATTACTTGGGGGTTAAACTAAATGATGTAAATTGATTGTATTATATGAAATTAGACGTCAAATATAAAACACTACAGGAACTAAAGAAGCGGACCGGTATTTCCGTCTTTATATTTTCTACAACACTATAAAGAAAGTAATCTCCATTTTATTAGTTAAACATCCCATCTTGATCTGTACCCCACAACCCCTCATCAAATTCTAGTCATACACCAAAACTCGACCCCTTAAACCAATCATTACCCCCTCAAACAAAAGAAAAACCCCCCATACACTCCACTCATCTCTACAACAAAACAACCAACCCCCCCAATCCCAACGCCAAAACCCCCGCCTTCCCAACGCTCAATCCCGCAGCAGCACCCGTAGCAGTCGCCAACGGCGTACCAGCAGTAGTCGTGCGATTCAAGCGGGGACCAGCCGTGGTAGTAGGCAACACTGGGTACCCAGGCGTATAATCCAGCTGAGGAGTAGGCTTCACCCCCGGCGTAACCTCTGGAGTAACCTGGGGGTAACCCTCTGGGACTGGATTAGGAGCGACCTCGGGAGTGACCTCGGGAGTAACCTGTGGAGCAGCATAGGGCTTGGTTTCGGTGTTGGCAGGAGGAACCTCCCCATATGGTTTGGCGGGAGGTGCCTCTTTATATGGTTTGGTAGGAGGTGCCTCCCCGTATGGATGCAAGGGTGCGGGAGTGGGCTCTGGGGTCGCCGCTGGGTGGGCTGGGGGACTGGGAAGGACCTCGTTGATTGGGTAGCCGTGTGTGGTGGGAGTGTCGAGGGTGAATTGGGAGGAGTAAGTAGTGAGATCTTCGTTTGCGTCGTCGACGATTTGGAAGGCGTAGCCGCTGCCCTTTGGCAGAGCGGCATCTGGTGTCCAGGTGTAGCAGCCGTTGTTGGGGAGGTTGGCTATATCATACATGTTAGCTTCCTATCGTTCTTTCTCGTGATGTGTATAGGACCCTCCTTCTCACATCCTCAAGATGTGTGGGTGAGAAGATGAGATGTAGGGGAGAGGGAAAAGGAAGTGGAAAACATACCAGCAATCGTCACAATCGTCGCCAAATTGTTCACATCTCCCAGACTCTGTCTCAGCACGAGAGTCACACTGACTGTCGCGGGTGAAGGTGCCCAGGTGATGTTGAACGGAGAACCGGCGCGGATGGTACCGATATCCCCTGGGAACGTGAAGGGGTTCTGCGCATAAGCGGTGGCAGAAAATGCGAAAGCGGGGAGGAACTTGGAGAGCTGCATCTTTTCTTTTCTCTTCTCTTCTCTAGTAACTCAATGAAAGAAGAAATAGAAATAGGTGTAGAAAGAAATTATCTGGCAGGTATGAGTATACTCGTACAGAGATACAGCAGAAGGAGGGAAAGAAAATATGAAAAGGAAAATATGTATCTATATCCCGCAAATGGAAAATGGGAGGAGGCCAAATTAATACTAATGCGCAGTAGAGGGAAAAGATCAGTCCTCTTTATACACGAGACGCAGTAAATAGAAATGACGTTCACCTCATTCAATGTCCCAAAATAACCATTGCAATTTATAGACGTAATACCGCCAGCAATGAAATGCCTGTCTCGCTTAAGTTCTCGGAAACAACACAACATAACAGACGCATTCGTATCCAGGAGAACCATGGAGAACCCAACACGAAACAAAATGCACCGTGCCGAAAGTAGGGGACTTTCATGACAACGACTCCCTGGAAGAAATTTGGATGAGCAAAGTATGGTTTTCTGTCAGGTATTTTGACAGCGGTTACCCCACACCACACTTGTAGGCGCATCGCATCGCATATACATAGAGTGACGGCATATGACTTGCTTGGTGATGACAACCGCCACACCAGTAGCTCTTACTAAATTCTTCGCGAATGGCAGATGCCATACGCTAGGAGGTTGCTGGAAACAGAAAAGCATTTCCGAGGGGCTCGGAGATATAAGAAGTAAGGATACCCAAGTCAAACCAGTCGCCTACCGATTCCATACTCATAAACAGGCCAAGCCAGAGGATACATCAGGATATTTGTTGCCAAAACAATACAACACCATGTATAGAGGGTAGGCTACACAGACAACGAGCAATTCTCACCATAGTCTCGTCCGCTGGAAAGCTCCCTAAAACCCAACAGGTTGAGACGAGCCTGTTAACCGAGTATAAGAATAGGATACTACGAAAGAACGCAAGAATCGCAAGAATCGCCGATTTATCGTATCATATACCCATAACCAATCCAGACCAGGCCAAAAAGAATCCCAAAAATTTGCCAACCCAAAACAATATAATCCATAGAGGGCAGGCCGCACAGATCCTCACAAATGACAACCCAACCCTCGCGACCTTATAGTTAACAAATCCTCCGATCCTCCGTATAATACGCAAGGAAGCGACTTGTCGCTCGAATAGTAGAGACGAGATTTCGAGCGAGTACACTACAACAGCATCCCACTACCTCATTTCCAAAAAAGAACTTGGACCAAGATCCAAGCAAAGAAATCGCCTCCCTATCCTATCCCATCCTCTCCTATAGTATAGTATACTATACTATCCTCATAAACAGTCCAGTCTAGACCAATAAATATATATATATATATTATTATTCATAAACAACACAACACAGTGTAGGCCACAAAGATCCCCACCATCTCCCACCAAGATCCTCGCGACCTCTCAATCCTCCGTATAGTATGCAAGGAACTTACCTCTCCAGCCCCTCAAACTCAAGTACCTAATCAACAGCAAAATCCATCAACGAGTAGAGTAAGACTAAGATCTCACAACCCATCATAATATAAGAAACAAGAGAATCGATTTCCAAAAAGATGAATTTTGATTACATCAAAATCCCGAAAAGTATAAAAATTAATCAACGAGCAAGACCAAGAATCTAAGATCTTTCAGCCCTATTATCCCCTCAACACTTAATATGTACATTTCGATTCAAGTGTTTGCGATACCCACTTTGAGTCTTGGTACTCAACAATACCACTGCTTAATTAGTGTGGAGCAAGTCGGACCAAGCCCCGTAGCGCGCCTAGGCATTATTCCGATCGCTCCGACCGCTTAACTAGGAAATCGCAAACCTAAAACGCCAGATGTACATATTAAGTGTTGAGGGGATAATATAAGAACAACAGAACTAATTTCCCAAGGAGAAAAGGGAAATTTGGATTATATTAAATCCCGAGTAATCTAACTATAAGATATTGTTTGCCTATTGTATCGCATTCTATATGTAAACAGAGCTATGGATCTAAGAGAAAGATTATCGATTCGTGAGGGATTGTTGATGGCAATAGCATAGTGGAGAGGATGGAAGGAAGTGGAAGGGTAAGGAGTTTCCGCTATTATAGGTTAAGGTCTACGAATAAAACGAAAGGGGGAAGATTCGTGAGGAAGAGTTCTTCTTCTCTATCTCCATCTCCTTCATCGTAGCAACTCCTAGAAACAAATAAAAATAAAAATAAGAAAGGCAAATAAAAACAAACATATCCTCATAAGAGAAATTACATAACCTGCTATCCAGCCATCCTTGATACATCCCTAATCCCCAAATCCCTTCCTCTTCTAAATCTCTCCTAATCTCCTAAAATCCCTCCCTTCAACAACCTCACACACCAATCCAATCCCCTCCTCTCCCCTCCAAAACAACCAGGTCCCCCCTCAATCCCCCTCCCTCTCCCCTCACAGCCACTCCACAGTCACACCACACACAAAAATCACCTAATAGTACCTTCACCCACTACCCACTCCACTCCCACCCAACCCTCTTCAACCCCATCCAACCCAAGATACCCAACTAGCTAGCTCACTACTCATTAAACTACAAAGTATATAATCTTACCTTGTTTGTAGATCGAGGTTTGACCCTCCCACTAAGTACCAGTAGTAGTATAGTCCTCATATATACCTCGCAGAACCAAGGACCAAGGACTAACCTTCCATACTAAATAGGTACCTTTTTGACCCCTAGCTTACCCCCGCACCTTACTATACCATATCCCTCGTCTCATCTCATCTCATCTCATCCCTCCCTCCTCCCTCTCTCCCTCTCACCCATTCAACAACTCCAAGAAACTCACCTCACCTCACCTCACCTCACTTCACCCAACGAACCAACGACACCTAATACAAAAAAAAATCCCAATATCTACCTACAGAGCTACATAGGAATAAATATACAGTACTTCACCTAACACTCATGTCCAACGCCACTGGTCCTGATTAGCCACCCATCCAACATCCAATCCATTGCGTAATCGCTAGCGTACAAGCATAACGTAATACGAAGGTCTGCATGCATGCACAATGCACGCACAATGCATGCACAATGCATGCACGTATGCGGACACAGTTTTATGCACATACCCTACGCACGTCCCGCTCGGCGGCCGGGGAAATACGAGGTTGTGCATGTATGGGGTTATGACCGACGAGGAAGGTATGACAAATGGAAAAACAAACGGGAAAAAAGGTAGGAAAAATATCACAGCTGAAAGGACCATTAAAATGTATTAGACAAGTAGTTTTATTTCTGATTGTTTCTACTTAGAGCATGTGTAGTCTTTGTACATGATAATCCTCCACACAGAGAGATTATTAGAAGCATGCTACAATTAGTTCCCCATTACCAACTCCCCAAGGAGCGAGATGGTAACGAGGCATCCCTTCGTAAAAAGTAATTCTTCTTCGTTACGCCTTCCAAAAAATGCAAAAGCTGTGACCATGTGCACGCTCGACCGTGGTGTTTCCCCTGTCGTTGGTTGTCCATGCAATGAGTTGTTGTTTATCAATTACTCCACACCGAAAGATATGCAAGAACCACCCTCCCAATTAATAAAGTCTTATAAACAAGAATCGGAGAACAAAAAAGTCAGGAAACTTAGTTGAGGCTGATAAGAGCAGCGACGGTCAAGAAGACCAAGGCAAGTGGGGAAGCAATGTCGGAAGCACCGCTGCTTGGGGCAGCAGTGGTGGTTCCAGATGCGGCACTACCACTGGCAGTGCGGCTGGCAGACGAAGCCAAGGTGCTTGATGGGCGGCCAGAGGTAACGGTGGCGTTTCCAGCACTGGTGGGGGAGCTGGAGGTAGCAGTGGTGGTGGTGTTGCTGCTGATAGAAGAGATAACAGATGAAGCGGCAGAGGTGACGGATGCGGAGACGGATGAGAGAACAGATGAGACGGAGGCAGAAACAGATGAGACTGCAGAGGAGACCGAGGCGGATGGTGAAGGAGCAGCACCACCGATCAACTCGAATTGAGAGCTGTAGTTTGGAACTCCAGTAGAGTCAACGATGTCGAAAGCGTAGGTGTCCTGGGCCAAGGTAGCTGGGACGTTCCAAACATATGAGCCACCGGTCTGAGCGCCTATTTCTCGCGTTAGTTATTGCATGAATTTGAAGCTCTGCGTGCCAATCCTTACTGGTGATAACGCTGACATCCTTGAGGTCAGTGGAAGGACCGTTCTTTAGGCGGATGGTGACTGGTCCCTGGTTGTCCTTCCATGTGAAGGTAAATGGTTGACCAGCAGTAACATCGTTGAAGACTGTGTTGGTGAAGGATACGGCGTTGGCGACTGCAAGAGCAGCGGCGGCCACGAGAGCAGATGAGAATTGCATTTTGAAGATGAGGGTTTTTCGTAAAAAGAATTTAATTAAACGAAGAATGCGTAGATGTTGATGTTGTTGGAAGAGATGTGATGGGGATGCTTGTGGAACTTGGGACGTCGGAAAGTGGGAGAGAATCAAACGAGTGTGACAACGAACAGTTGGTATGATTAAAGCAGTTGAGGAAGGAAGAAACCTGAACCCTCGAGGCGGGTGAGTCTGTATTTCAATGGCCGCCGATGGAAGTTCCTGCCTCGGACCCCCTGCCCGTTCGTTGCCCCTGCCAATGTGGACCCCAGCCCCTGGATGTGCGCTCATTGGATGGCAGCTCCACCCGCAATCTAAGGTTCTCCTTTTCGAGCCTGTGCCCTGGACCTCTGTTGGGAAGTGGCCCAGTGAAGGTCAGTGAAGTCAGTGAAGGCCCAGTCAACCCCCGTCCAACCCCCTTGCCGGTCCTGGCCCAATTCATCCGATGCAGAGATGACCAATTTTCTGTCAACCCCGTCCACCCCATATTTTATTAGAGACTTCAAAGTATTATTGCATTCCGGCCGCGGCCATTTTCTTAAATCGACCGCCTGCCGAATTGGAATTTGCAAGAGGCAGGCGACTTGATTTACCGTGCACCGCCACACGTGGCTGTCGAGGGCTGTCGAGGCTGTCAACACTCAAAGCTCGAAGCGAACGGGGAACCAGGCTTTGTCCCACTTGACTAACCTCATCACTTCTTATTGCAATCAACCCCGCCTCGGCCCTCCACGGTAAAATGATGTCTGTGGACGCTGACGACGATGAGTTGGCATCTTGCGTCTTGACCATCCCGCACAACCAAGCGTCGTCCAAGCAGTTAAGACTTAGAACGGCACCTCCGTGCGAGTCGAGTCCCTCCCAGCCAATGCAATGCCAGCCATAAATTTACTTGAGGGAACCAGAGCTGATTCAAAAAGCCATCGCCATTCATTCTTAGGGGAGAAACCCCAGATAGATCATGCTTCTCAGAGTTGGTATTCCTGATGCAAAGGAGAGATCCCAGATTCCCAAGTGAGCTGAAAACGGAGGGTCCCTGCCAGGAGAGAAAAATCATAGCAAAGACTCGGACTCGCTCGGTGACTAGCTCATGAGCGGCAGAGGGCAGCCCAACAATCATCAAGATCAAACCAACAACACATCCTAAGCCTCAATGCCATCAAGGACAGTCCCCGCAAAAAGCAGCTCAAACGCTTCTTTCCGTCGCCACATCAAACCGACAAAATAGATCACCGAACCCGCAAAAACAATCCGGCCAAAACAAATCAATGCAAAACAACACGACGTCCACCAGCCAGCCATCCGAAAAAACAAACTCCCAGCCGCCGAGAACCTTCGTAAAGATTTAGCGCATATCTGCCAAACCTTCGGACACATCGGGCCAAGCGCGTAGCCGTACCTGCATGACAAACTTTGCTACAGTATAGTAATGTTACTTTTTTTAGACCCTTTTGCAGGTCAGATGGCCATGCTTTGGGATCGATCGGGTCGCATCGTTGCAGGCAACAGTGCAAATACACGGTAAAAAAGTCGTGCTGAGCTTACTCAGGTAAACTCTCCAGAACGGCAAGTTTTGGAAAGCCCTGGCAAGGATTGTAAGTGCAGCGTCGATGATGCTTCTTTTCTCTTCTCTTCTCTTGTGGTGGGCTGCCGAGTGTGACGTCTGTTCTTGGGGCCGTTGCGAGTATTGTAACGGCTTTTTGTGTATGAAGTACAAGAGCCTTCCTAGTACGGAGTACAGTTTCTCCTTGAACGCCACTCAAGCTACAGCTTGAAAGCTTGCATCAATCATAACTGTACCTGTTGGTTTGGCTTCTTAGGCCCGGACACTGAATATAATCTTTGTATATCCGTATGGATCCTAAAAGAGAGAGAGTGTGTGTGGCTAGCTAATGATATATGGTAGTGTTATGGACTGTCTTAGACAGTACCACGTGACTAGCCCTCCTTGCCAGAACGCAGATATCGCGAAAGTACCAGGTCAATACAATTCCGAGGAGTTTTCTTGTTCTTACTTTGGTCACTCTAATGTACAACACCGTCTCGAAAGTCGCAAGATTCTAAGGTGTTTCATCTTACAAGGGTATTGCAAGGTAATTTGTAATGTTCTATATGTGAATTACTTGTATTCTATACATATGTTCTAGGGTCACGAACATCTTGCTACTTTTATGAAGAGGCTTAATTTACCTTAGCTAAGACTATTCATTTATACCGTAATACTATAGATATATAATAAACCTCTAACATCGAAGTTAAGCTACCTATTCCCTACTACCCTCTTTATATCTAGTAAAGCATCCTAAGATCTCTACTATATGAAACCCTAACCCTTATTCGTTTATTAAACGTGGGATATATAGATTTACTCCTGGAGTAGAATAATTCTAGAGAAAGAGCTCTAATAGAAATAAATAGAATTCTAGTTATCGAAGGTTAGATAAGGTAGGGTACTATAGAACTATAGGTAGGTAAAATAGAGTCACCTATGTAATAGTATCTTTATAGATGTAGTAAGTTTTGAAGGATAAGATGTTTTTAGGGGTTAGTTTTAGTTTTTATATATGGACGGGTACGAGTATAAAGAACGAATAAGTAAGTAGAGAAGTAATATAGATAAGGAGTTTATAGAGGTATAGAGGTGCAAAGGTATAAGAGGGCTTGTATAGGATACGTCTAGTAGTATATGTAGTATATATTGAATATATTATAAGAGCAAGAACTGTCTATATATATGCCTTGAAATGAAAAGATCTCTGGGTTATATACCCTCTTCTCAAAAGAGTCTGGAGGTTATATAACGGCAAAACACACATTCTCCAAAGACAGGAAAGCGGAAAAAAGAGATGATTGGATTTCAGGTGACCTCAAGAATCCCATCTCATAATAAACACCATCACACTCCCCCAGAGTAAAGCAATTCGCTCCCCAGTACACGCCAATGTCCCCTTCATTCCTCTACGCCAAATCCTAATCCAAATCCCAAATCCCAAACCCCACAAGAACACACCTCAAGCCTCAATCAAATTTGGAATTGCAGGTCCCACACCTCTCAGAAGAACAATCGTATTCCCACTCGCAACCGCACTCCCCAACTTCTCACTAAACTCCAGCAACCTCCCCCCCTCCACATAAAACACCCGTAACTTCGAGCGCTCATCCTCGCCCTGGTTATTCGTGTTCTCGACTTGTAGACTCTTGGCCGCAGCATCGAGGACCCGTCCCACCGCCCACTCCTTCGAGTAGAAGAACTCGCCCTTGAGGAGCTTGGATCTGGTGGTCGCGGCTTCGGCTTCGACGTACAGGTAGACTCGCTTCTCGGGGGGCAGTTTGGCGTCGCCCTTTGCGGTTTTCTTGAGGGTGTTGACGGCTACTAATCGTGCGGCTGGGGAGGAGGGCTTGGGTTTGGGGAGGACTCGGTCGGACATGCTGGTTTTGGTTTTGCCCCAGGAGAGTTTGATGTTGGTGAAGGTGTTGCTGATGAAGGCTCGCTGATTGAATGATCTGCCAGAAGTCGCTCCTATATGGACCAGCTTTGCGCAGTTGTGTTCTTCATTCAGGCGATGGGCCATGCAGTAGTCTCGGTTGCATTTGTCGCAATGATTCGGTATCGATAGACTTGTTCCAATGATGGTTTTGCAATCTGGAGACGCGCATGCTCTCTCAATGTCGGGTTTCAATTTGCCTGCTCCGAGTGACGGTCTTGCTATCGCCTGTAGGCGCTTTCGTGTCGCCCATTCTCCTTCTTTGGTACATTTGTGATTGCTTTCTGTACGGTGGTCACCACAGAACACGTTATGGCAGGATTCGCAGCGGTAGAGAAGGAAATCGAGTTGGTTGCATGGTCCGTATTGGCAGTGAGAACCTGTTAATGTCGGGTCCTTGCCTTCCGTCGTCGCAATTGAGTTGTTTGAGGGCTTGGAGGATAATAAAGTTGCCATTTTCGGATGGATTTGAGGTTAGTACAGATGGAAAAGTTACTGTGACTAACCAGACAGATGAGTAACCAGACAAATGAGCGCAGTGAATACAGAGCTGCTTATATATACGATGTTGGTGGCTTCAAGGACTGGTATGTAGGCAGAAGGTGAAGTGGTTGTTGATTGCGTGTCTCAGCCGCGGTCCTGCTGGACACTTCTCGAATCTCAGCCTTACCAAGCCTTGCCACAGATTCAGGGATGGCCAATTGGGAGGAGACCTCAGTATCATTATGACCACGAACTTTCATTACCCCTTTTCTCACAACAATTTAGCTTGACTAGAAAAATGTGATCTTCGATTGTGCCACAAAATCGACGTCAATCGTCCCCATCTTAGAGAGGGCCGCTGAAGAAGCGGAGTGCGGGCCGAATCGTCCCGCCCTTCCAACCAACAAGAACAACAATGGTATTGCATTTGCTTGGTTATGCAAGTCCCGAATTAATTGTCTCACAAGAAACCATTTGTTAAAAAGGTCAATCCGGTGTCAGTATATATGGTTCTAAATGTCCAAAATATTTCTATCTTGTCACGTTAACCAATTAAAGGGCTAATATTGAACTGGTATAAGTGTGGTACAATTGTCTTAAAAGTAATTCCACCTACCTAGGGAGGTAACTACTAACAATAGCTAAATTACTTGGTAGCACATTATAAAATAGCTAACATAGTGTTCTATATAAGTCCTAAAAGTAGGGTCAGAAAAGGGAGGCGCGGGGATTTAAGTATTATACCTTTTTTTGTTGAAAATAGAACGTAAGATATCATCTGCTTTATGAGCGTACAAGGTTTATATTCGTTTTAGAACATAGATGCCTACTTTTTGGTTGTATGATGTTATCTTGTGACCCAGTAATTATCAAAAGATGTGGTATTATTCTTCCCGACCAAACATACCACAAAGACGAGATTTCCGAGACGCCGTATTCCATGCAATATACTCCTCCATGCTATTCATACATAATTACAATTTTACAACTCCTTCTCTTTTGTAGCTTTCATGTTATCCTTTTCCAGCATTTTTTCTCTTCCAACTGCTGGCAGGTCTCCAACAGCTTCCTTTCCACCAAAAGTCTCGAAGCCCTTGTGGAAAACCCATTCAACAGCTTCTTCGACAGGCTTGTCGAATAGGTACGGTAGAGCCGGAACAGCTGCTAGGCCAAGCCCGATAGGACCATACGTCCGAATTCTCATACTTTTGTTGTCCTTCAGAGCACGTCCAGAGTAACGGACGATCGAGTGGATTGTGAAAGCTGGCTGGGAATTGTGTTAGTCGTTCAATTAGGGTTAGCTATGATTAAAGTCCAAACTTACCAGACCCATGGACGCTATCGACTGGAAGACTCCTCTCTGCAGCGCAACCGTTCGCCAGTCGCTCAAGGCCGGGACTTTCCCGGGAACAGGTGGTTCTCCAGCTACTGGATCAATTGTTGACTTAGCATCGTTGTATTTCTCTGGAGCAGCCACACGAGGTAACTCGGGATGAAGAATTCGTTGGTTGCTGCAATATGCCTTGTAGCCTTCATGCGCTACGTCTCCCGCAATATACGCCCAAGAGACTCCATAAGCTGATCGAACAAGATTGGGGTGTGCTACTGGGCGAAATGACTCTCCAATATCACTAGTATACGCGACGTATCTTTGTGCAGAAAGCAGAGCGGTTCGGATGCGTGTTGCATAAGCAGCATATCTTATGCTGCTTTCTGTAGTTTGGGGAGCACTAGAAAGGTGAATTATTAGCGGAGCTCCAAACAATGGGCCTGAATGTGATTTCAACATGCCTTCCTTCATATAGCTCGTCATAGAAGTTGTCTTCGGCCTCAGATTTATTTACAATATCTTGAAGGCCTTTTGGTAGCTTTGCTGGTTCGGGTAGTACAGTTGGAGGAGGTCCGCGGCCCTTATTGTCTTTTTCCGAATCACTTCCAGCCATTATGGTAATCTGCAGTTTTTGACAAGCCCTCTGGTTGTGAAATTCTGCACTTGCCCCAATTTTCCAAATAATCAAATGGTTTCCTGTACTCTACAAACTGGGGTGAGGGGCAAATGGCATGACGATGCTTCCTCGGCTCGGAACGGAAGCTTTCACCCGCCTTGCTTAGTCACTCTTGCGGCTCTGCCAAGACTTGAGTTGGAGCTCAACTTTGAAGGGACGACACCAGTATCAACAACCTCACGACTCACGAACAAGCTCAATTCCGCAACGCACCCACATATTCCATTCTCTCAGCACATTTCAAGTCCCAAACCGTCAAAATGGTCCAAATATACACAATTGCCGGTCGCCAAATTGGCTCCCACTACGTATGTTGAACTACCCGAAATTGAGAATGCTAGGAAAAACTTGGCAGACACATTGCACTACGGCAACTATCTACGAAAGCATTGGGAACCATGGCTAACCAATTGTAAATGTTTAGCTTGCTATGGGCGTTCTCGGGGCACTTGGAGCACTATCTATGTCGTTCGGTGGAGGATCAGCAGCAAAGAAGGTTCAGGGACCACCAATCAATGCCCAGAGCCCGGATGAGGAGAACTTCATCAAGTATGTTTTCTAGCAGTACCATCAGCCCATAATTATGGTGCAAGAAGCTTAGAGCATTCAGCTAACCTCCCACAGGGACTTTCTCGCAAAGGCCGACGCAGGAGGAAAGAGCACCGAACCCGCGAAGAAATGAGGAAATGTGTGATTGGTGAGGAAGTTCAGAGCTGGCACGCATGGGCGCATAAACCATGGAGAGGGTGTACATATATCCAGGAGGCTAGAGAAAGCATGTTTTGATTATTTTGGGGCGAACTTAAGGTTGCCTTTGGGATGGAAGAGTAATCTCTCGTTGTCTGCCCACCCACATTTTTCAGATTTTTACACATCTCACCATCATGCTGGTCTCGCGAGCAACCAGCCGAAGGTCCGAGATAATGCGCCTCACTACAAAAGGGCACAGGAGCATCTATGTATCTACTGATTGAAGCCGCGCTGTCCCCTGCATATTATCTCCTTGCCTGTTTTCTTGCCATTGTTTGCCTCTGTTCTTGTCATTTTGAACTCTCTGTAGCTTGGCAGACATACTCCCGGTTCTCAGTTACTATAATTCCCTCTTAATTTCCTTTACTCTGAGCTACTCATGAGGTTTCTTTGCTTGAGTTTGTAGTCCAAAAACTTGGGGCTTGCAGCTCAAATTTCATGGCTCACATGATTTGACCCTCGGAGTGGTCATGAACTCGAACCAACGAAGTCCACGAGAGATATGATTCCAACAAGTTCATGATTTGAGACTTCCCGCCTCTTTATTCGCTCCTGATAATTCTACCAGGCCTTAACACGGTTCCAACATTACATGCTCTTCCTCATACAACCCCGACAATGGCTCAGCATGCATTGTGTTCGTTATTTCGTTATCCTCTTCAGACTTCCCCATTTCCGCTGAGACTTTGTCTCGCTCCATGGCGATTTTCCACAAAGCATTATCCAGTAGCTCTATCACCAGTTCCTTTGTGTTTTTGTTGTCGGCTTCCCACGCATCAAAAAACAACCCATACGGGGACGATGCCCAATCCAATAGGGTATTTTCCTCATTATCCATACTTTCCAGATCAACACCTTCTTGGGCGAGCATGAATTTCACAACTTCTAAGCAGCTTTCAGGGTTACTTTGGACTGCCCATGACAAAGCTGATCGTCCAGTCTCGTCCCTTTCATTAATGTCACAGCCCATCTTAAGCAGGAGCTCGATCCCGGGCAGCATACCCAACTCCGCACCTATTGACAAACTCGATCGATTGTACTTGTTTCTATACGACAGCCCATATTTCGATGCTGACATCAATAGTTCTGTTGTTCTCTGGTTGCCCAACAATGCAGCTACAGTTAGAGGGGTAAAACCATCCTCGCTTTCTGCGTCTGGACTGGCCTTGTATTTGAGAAGAAGTTCTATAACTTCTTCAGGGGCTCCAACTGCTACAGCTTCATATAATGGCGTAGAGCCATCCGCACTTTTGCTTTGAGGATCAAATCCGTACTTTTCGATCAAAGTTTTGATCATCGTCAAATTTCCGTATTTTGCTGCAAGCATCAAAGGACACTTTGACTCTTTATCCCTCAATTGCGGATTTGCACCCTTCTTGACAAGAGCTGCAAATATGTCTTCGAAACCTTTCGATGCAGACATTGATATGGCGTTTTCGCCATCTTCGTTCATGCAACCAGTATCTGCTCCGTGGTCGAGAAGACACTCTACCATTGAAAGGTCTCCATAGGAAATTGCTCGCAAGAGTGGAGTCTGACCCAGGGCATCTTGGGTGTCGATTTGATTCTGCACCTCTTTTTTCGAAAACAGATACTCAACAACCTCAAGATGATTTCTCCAAGCTGCGATATATATAATGGTTTGCCCGTCTTGAGTTTTAGTGTCTGTTTCATAGACTCGTGGTCAGTTGAAAGTAATCTTACAGAGCGCAATCGATATCAAGGATCGACTTTGGAACGCACACGTACCTAAACTGGCGCCCTTATCTACCAAGATTTTCACGCATTCCAAGTCTCCTGCGGAGACCGCACACAAAAGTGGGGATGTCATTGTATCAGCATGCGAACTGAAGTTGACATCAATATCTTGCCGCTCAAGCAGAGCTTTCAGCACATCAACATGTCTGTGAGTAGCCGAGTAACACAAAGCAATGTTTGCTGAAGTTTTCCCAATATTATCTGCCTCATGCTTGAGTATCAATTCTATAATTTCGCAGTGCCCACAAATTGCAGCATACTCAAGTGGTGTGCCTTTCCACAAGTCGGGCTCAGAAGGAAGACCATCAGAAAACGACAGCAGTATTTCTACTATCTTTGTATGGCCTCTCTCGGCGGCATAAGAAATTGGTGGCCGGCCTGCTTTGCACTTGATTTTTCTCGTATCAGGTAGATGGCCCAGAAATGCTTGGAAAATGTCGGCATTTCCAAGTCCAGCAGCCAAAGACAGCGGTGTTCGACCATCCTCATCTTTGATCTCTAGATTTGCACCTCTTTCTATAAGGAGTTTCACTATCTGGCTTCGGCAGTCTTCCGATTCCCGAATACCTTTACATGTTTTCGAAAGAGCATTGACTAAAGGAGTTCTTCCAGAGCGATCGGGCACATCAATCTTAATACCCTCCTGGTCTAGGAGCATAGTAAGGGCTGCGACCGAATCGTCCGTTAGCGTGGTAGCCAAGTAAGTAATAAGTGTTTGCCCACTCTGATCCAATTGGTTCAAATCTTCCAAGAAGGGGAGAAGGACTTCAATCTTCTTCTTGCAATTACTGCTCTGTGCCGCAATTTTCAACACATTTCGCCCTTCAAGATCTGTGATGTTTAAATCAACGGCTACTTTCTGGACAATCGTTTTCAGAATGTTGGTAGTCTCATCAGAGTCACTCAACGCCGCGTACATGAGAGCATTCATGCCCTTCAGATCCTGTAGGCATGGCTCACTCGTCACTTGAAGCAACGCGTGTACCAGGTTTTCTTTGCTCGTCTCAGCAGCATAGGATAAAGCAGTGCGTCCCTCGATGTCCTTGATATTCGGGTCGATGTTGTACTTATGGATGCATGTTGGGTCGATGCACGGCTGGCCCCATAAAAACCTTGACCTATTTGCGACACATATCAATGGCGTTCTCCCAAACTTGTCTATGATGTTTGGATCTGCCCCACTTTCGAGGAGCATCTTGAAAGTTGCTGCATTCTGAGAAGCTGTGTGTAAAGCCGAAAGCCCATCATGGTTGGTCTTATTTAGATCTTTGTAGGGTAGTTTGAGCAAAATCTCGAGCATACGGGCATCAGGCACATTGCCTCCTGATACATATATCAAAGGCGTGTTTCCATAATGATCAGTTATGTTGAGGTCCGCGTTGTGTTCAAGAAGAACTTTGAAAATTTCAATTTTCTGGCATTGTATGGCTAAAATTAGAGGCGTATAGCTTCTTTCATCAACAGTGTTCAAGTCTGCGCTAATAATAGGGTTAGTTCGGCTCTTTGAATAGAGGAGGTCAGGCTTACCCTTTCTCAGCCATCGCCGATACAACTCTCGCTAGCCCAAATGCCGACGCAAGAGTAATTCCACTGCTAGGTTTGTTGTGCTTTGTAAAGTACTCCTCCAGCCATTGGTATAATTGCGATGTGCCGTCAAAACTTCTGAAGCTGCTCGAAAAATTCCAGAAACGTGAGACATGCTGTAGGATAGTTTCATTTTCGAGTAGTTGCAGTATCATTTCCTCGCATCTTAAATCACTGCTTGTTTCCATCTTCGAAGCAAACTTGCCCCACTCTACTACGGCAAATAGATACAATGGATACATATCAAAGTGTTCGAGTAAAGTTATTTGGGTTGCTAGTTCGAAATTGACGTTAGCAAAAGTGATTCTCCCCCGCCTGAATTTATCGTGGAATATGTTCAGAAACCCACCAAAGAAATTGAGAGAATAATCAAGTGATAGATAGGATATACATGCTTGTGTAACCTCGAAATATGCGTTCGGAAACAAAACCGATTTTCTCTTCTCCTTGTTAAAATATTCCCGAGTGGTGTAGTGGGCCCACATGACCGTATTATCTTCTTCATTTAAGACCAGAAATCCACGACAAGATTTCAGTAGGAACAGCGGATCTGGGCATAAAAAGTTGTTGAACGGCTCTTCTTCAAATTCGTCCTGGAACTCATTATACTCCTGGATTGCTACTGCATGCTGAAGCTCAGATAATGTGAAAGGGCGGCCTTCAGTGGCAAAGATTATCCAGGCAAGAACCCTCATTGCAATATCGTGAGAATCTGGGTCCGCTTGAATCATTTCGATTTCCATGTCGTAAGTAGCCTCTAGATCCTCTGGCATCTTACTCAAGGCCCTGTTGACCCTGGCAAGATTAATTGACTTGACTACTGAACCAATGTTCAATTTCGCGTACAGAAACCTAACTCGTCAATAAATGAGTGCCGGATTATGACGAGATTACTTACATTCCATGTGCTTTTTCACAGATCGTATCGATGATCCTCAATGATAGTTCTGAATTTCTTCCGGTCAGACGGGACAGCGTCTTGGAAGCTTTGATGGTGTCTCGGAGATACAGTCTCATATCATCGTCTGTTGCCGATATGAAAATCTCCGGGGAGGCTTGGAATGAATCCCTAATATCAGGCAAATCTCTTGAAGTTACCAAGATATTCATGGCGGTGGAGAGGCTACGGATGTGGTCTATTATATCTCCTCTGATGTCTTGTTCACACTCATCCAGTCCATCTATAACGATGAGCGTCCGGCTCAAAGTCAACATTGACGACTTCAACAAGATAATTGCGTTTTCCAGGTCAAGGGACTCTTCGTTCGGTTTGAGGCCTATATATTTCTGGCGAACAGAATCGGGTATCTTTTGTTTAAGGGCCATTAGCTTTATTGAAGTCCTTCAACTTAACATTACGTACAGGAGATATGTGCTTCGCGATTTGTCGTAGTAGTGATAGAAGGATCCCGAGTAGATCTTGCTCTTTTTGCGTTTGGTGACTAAAATATATAAAGCAAAGACCAGTGTCTTTGACATTTATCATCTTGCGCAGATGTCGAATTATGGCTGCTCTAAGTGTCCACAAATGTCAGCATGTACTATTTTGACACAACGATGAAATAAAATTACATACGTCAAAACGGTTTTACCACCACCGGCTATTGCACGTTAGTGGGCGGCACCGGTGCCCTTCAATTCACAAGCAGACTTACGAATACCAACACACCAAAGCTCCTTGTTGGTGCCATCTCGCCAATCCAAGAATTTTGGATGCTCAAAGAACCAGGTACAAGTTCCTTCGTGAAGTGATTTGATCACAGTATTCTGTCTTTCTTCAAACTTCACGGTTGTTATCCAATTTAGAATCGTTTCATCCGGAATTTCTGACGGAATTCAGTAACGGGTTTGAGGTGATGGAACAATCCTCGCAGCACGAAGACTTTTTACCTTCTGCTATCCTACGCCCTTCTTTTATTTCTCCCAACACATTCAGTTCAAGTTTATCCAGCTGCGACGGTAAGATTCGAACAGCGTTGTCGATATTTCCAACCCGGGAAGAGACCAGAGCTACTGAGGTTGAAACATCTTTCACTTCACTGGAAATACCGGTTATCTGTGTCGTAACGTCTCCTAATCCATTCTGTAACCTCCCATCCATCTTCTCAATTTTAAGACTAAGCTATCAGTACCTACTCTATAGAGATCTTTATTACACTTACTAAGCAAGAATACCTAAAGCACGTGTAACGTCGTCCTTTGCCGAGTCCAAACTCTGGGCTAAACTCAGGAGTGTCGTTTCCTTGAAACAGTACACAGACTTGTCAAAGATTCTTTGCATTGAATGACCATACTTCCATGGTTTATCGGATGGCTTCAATTTCTTCAATCGCATCTCGACGACTTCGAGAGCATCAACGCAAGCAACGATGCAATCTTCAATACTTTGCGATGCGCTCGGGTTAAGCGATCCATGGTTAATGGTAATAGTACTGATAATTTCGAGAACACGTCGACAGTTCTTGGTCGATTCTAACAATTGTTCCATCTTCGGGCCATAGTCTTTGTACGAACCATAAAATGTCGCAATACCTTTGCAACATTGAAGTCCAAGAGAAACCATCCCCACCACGCCAGCAGCAACGTCAAAACCAGACATTTCAAACACCCGAAGATAATGATACTTTGATAAAAACAATATAGAGAAAGAAATGCAAAGAAACAGCAAAAATTTGGAATAATTCAGTAAAATTCAAATAATAACATCATTTCGAAGTGTTACCTGAATACACCGACTCACCGAGCATCCCCATTCTGCAGTGCTGAGCCTCATTATGTTGGTTGCCATGCTGGCATTGCATATGCCGACGCGCGCGGTTAAAATAGGCTGTATGCACTTGAGGTTGTCGTACCAATCAACCCATGGGATAAGCTGGTACAGATTTCTTTGGACCCACCTGCAGTACTACCCAAGTTTTCAAACTGAGTCAAGGTAATTCTATGTTCAAATGCAAGAATTTCAAGAAGCATCCTGTTTCTCCCTTTGATAGCCGTCAACAGCTGTGGTTTTATCTGGAGCGCACACATAATTTCATGTTGTCTTAGATAGTCATACGTGGGCAGTCAAATCGAAAAGAACCCCTTGTGACAGATCTAGACCAATATATATACTCTAAACAAAATTATCTAAGCTTTTAAATCTTGAGTACGGATTTGCATTAAGCTTTGGCAAGGGCACAGTGGGCGGCTACAATGCCGTTGGGTCCACTTCAAGCTTATGTCGATTAAACTCCGAGACACATCATGTGGAACTTCACTCCCTCGTTGTTGAAGAGCGGAAATAATCAGATCAGAGTTCGAGATATCAAATGTGGAGGAGTATACACTAGCGCTTACAGTAATTATGGACTTCTCGCCAGGAAAGGTTTCGCTTAATGTGGGACTCTCTTATCCCGTAGACCAACCTCAAGAGCAGAGCAAAGAAGCAAGCAATTATTTTGGATGTTAAGTACCAATACAGGTAAAATCCTTGTAAACTCTGCTATTTCTGATTGATGTAACATTTGGTAGGCTTGCTGCGAAAATTATTATGCTTATCGAGATGTCAAGTCTACATTCTCTGAAAGATAATTGCAAGAATCACTTGGATCGAAAAGTCTTGATGCTACTACTGTAGCTTCTCGGTCCCTCCTTTCTTGTTTCGGTGTCCACAAACTTCCGGGTATCGGAATCCGATGATACCTGCGGAGCGACGGAAACATCTCCCGCGTAGATAAATCCACTATTTCATGCAGGTCCAATTGTACGAGATACGATGTAACTGCGGGGAGGCACGGGAAGATCTCCCTCAGTCAGAAACGATATCGATTTCCTAGATACCCATTTTACGACAGGTTCAACGATAGCAAAAACGCAAGCCCTTTCGATACTTTGTCTTTTGAGTAACGATGTGCTGATTGCCCTTCCCCCGTCAAAAGCTTCTTTGGGCCTCAAAACCCCATTCCCAGCACTAATCGAGGCCTAATTCACACCGGCATATGGCAAAGATTAGCAGTTTGGGCTAGAGGTGCCGCCTGAGTGAAGCGTGGTTCAATGTTGTGGCGTGGTTAAAACTGCGTATGGAGACTTAGAATCCGTTATCATCGGACTAGTTAATGATTCTAGAACTGAAATCCGGTATTTCAAGGCACAGTGGTCACTCAGCGTTCAGGGGAGAAACCTTGAGAGTAAGCCTGGCCTTAGTTTTGATTCTCACTTTCGAGAAATCCCACCATCCTATTGGGGTCCAAAAAACCTTAATTTGCGTTAGGGGTCGGCAAGCAACTCGTAACTGCGAGAGACAGACTTTTCAAATCGTTTAGTAGAAAATCATGTAAACCCTGTTCAGTTCCATAGTACGACGTGAATCCTTCCTGGAAACAAATTCCTTCCAAAATCCGGCTCCCAAAATCCGGCTCCCAAAATCCGGGGTTACAGAATTACTCCTTTAGGAAATGACTCCGTCGAATCCAACATACAGGGACAACACACAATCACAATGATAGGGAGATGAAGAGCACGTTTCAGGGTTCACTTGCATATGTCACTTAAGGATTTGAAACACAATACACGTTCAAGAAACGTGGTCTGTTGAAATTATGATCCGACATCATGCATGCGAGATGCGAGGCCGTTAGGATTCAGATTGGTGGCTGTTGTAGTAAGATCGACTGTCATCTGTTAGATAGGCTGTTTGCGCTGGCACCACGAGAGACTCGTAGGAACTAATGCTTTGCTATTCGCCTCATCGGGCGGATTGGATATGCAAAACTGTCAGCAGTTAGGAGAATATTGTAAAGGAGCGTTGTAGAGATGGTGGGGTGGTCACATACCCTTGTACATCTACTACTCCCATGATACCGCGCGGCACTATCACCCAGCATAATTGACGAATCGATTTTCAAGTTGGCTCGATAAAGATTACGATTAGGTGGACTTACAGATGATTTGCACGAAACTGTCCTGTTTGAGTAAGAACTCGCTAGTTAAAGCCCCTTTAGGTTGTGGGGTCCCGATTACGCGCCACACTAGGGTATATAGGTGACGTACTTCTTTTAAGGTTAATCTCTAATTTTCAGCTGCCACGCATGCATAGCTAAGAACACGTGGAAAACGTGTTTGTCCAAGGGGGAGGTTATTTATAAGCTCGCAGAAGTCATGTTTCGTGGCTAGCTGCCGGTAAGGCGAATCCGCCATGATTTGAAACATAAAATCATAGGAAGATTAAACAGCAAAAACTCGGGGCAGTACTTTAACTGGGTGCCAGCAATCGGGTAGTGTTATGCAGCCGCTGCTGCGCCATTCAGGAGCTGCTATAAATGGGGACGAACCCACCAGTTAAGCGAGAATCACAACAGGGGAAAGTAAGCCTCAATTGAAGCTTTCTTACCTACTATCTGAACACGCGACTTTCATAATTGGTAAGAGCTTACGATAAGGATACTAGGTAGCATTTGGGCGCTGTTCATATGACATACATCGATTAAGGGGGAGGCTCATCCAGTAAGATGGATAATTGAATATGTAGTGTAATGTCAGTTAGCATGGGGGCCGGGAAGCTGACTAAAAGGAGCACCAGACCCGGCTTCCAAGCCAATCCCGCCGCCAACAGCGGCTGCGCAATGACAGGGTGATATTTCCAACAGTGCCGCGAAGTTGCATTCTGTTCAAGGTCCATTTTCTAAGATTGATCTTGCACGATGCCTCCGAACGATTTATGACGCCCTGGAAGTAGCTGTAAATAGCGCCTGGTTTCACCTATCCCCCTCTTTTGCAATCCAACCATCGTTGGAAAACAGGAAGAGGATCAAAAATCCCCCAATAGCCTCTTCTGAACACGAAACATCAAATCGTGGCTGATTGGAACTTGAATCTTGTTTTGGCAGCGTATCATCAAACTTTCTTCGACATCAGCCCCGATATATGCTTGAATGTGCACAACATAGCGCAGGAAGCCATAGTTTTTGGAGAGTACAAAGATTGGCAGTCTTTTCGATTTTGGGCAGTGAAAAGGCAGTTCGCTGAGACATTTCTACTCGTTAACTCAAATCTTAAAGACTCAGACAAATCAAGAAAATGGTAGGTGTTGGAGGTCGTTCCGGAGGTAAGTGATGATAGAGTCAATTCCCCATCATACTTCTTTACTTTTTGTCTAACGTATGACAGGTTGTCACACTTGCCGCCGTCGCCGCGTCAAATGCGATGAAGTTCATCCAAAGTGTAATAGATGTGCCAAAGCCAAAATCCCTTGTGAGGGTTATGACCGAGACCTCAAGTTCGTGGACGAAAAATCCCGAGCGCAAAAACGAGTTCAGGTCAAAAGACAAGCCTATCTGGAGTCAATACAGGCTGAGCAAGGCAAGCTCAAATCCAGTCGTCGCACAACTCAACTCAAGACGGAAACACAAGTTCCACCAAGTCTTTCATTGGCAGGCAGCGAGACTATAGTTAGACTAACTTTCATGCAAAACCAATTATTTTCGGGATGGAGGATGTTCATACCTTGGACTATGTGCGAATATCGAGGACAAGATAACTGCACAACGACCCAAGCAGTTGATGCACTGAGTAGCATGTATTTTGGACGGATGTATGGAGATGTCAAGAGTGTTAACGCTGGGGTCAATTCTTATAGCAAGGCATTACCTTTATTGGGTCGAGACCTCAAAGACCCAAAGGCCTTCACACTATCCACTCTTACCAATGTTCTGAGTTTAGTCATCTATGAGGTTTGTATAGTTTCCGTAGAATACGATCGAAGAACTAACAGATAATCAGATGTTTGCGTCCTCTCGTGGGGGCATGATACAACATCTGGGTGGCATACAAAGATTAATTGAGCAATGTGGACCGAAACGCTTTCAGACACGACCATCGCTGGACGTCTTTATCACTGCTAGGATGGGAATCATGCACCATGATATGGACGTCAGGAGGCGATGTTTTCTAGAAAATCCAGATTGGCAGACGATACCATGGCTCAAGGAACCAAACATGAAAGACCTCCATATACAAATCTGTGATCAAAAATGCTTCATACCTGGCCTTCTTGAGGATATGGAAGCTTTGAGGACTGGTCTACGCGCTGCTCCCATGAACTTTCAGAATCTATGTGCATCCGTCACAATGCACCTACGAAACTTATACAATTGGAGAGCTGCATGGGAAGCACAATATCCCAATTGTGCATATCTCGTTCCAAATACAGATCCAGACCTTCCGTTCACCACGGCAATACACTACACAGAGATAAAAAGAGCAGTAGAGAATTGTCATTACCACACATCCCTACTTGCTCTCTACCGAATGGCCAGAATATTGTATGGTCCGACTTTCTCCTCTACTTCCATTACCGCAGATATTCCAATCATACGAACGAATCCCGTCCTCCTTCTTCCCAGTGACTCAAAAACACTTCAGGACATTGCACACGAGTTTATGCGATCAATCCCATATCATTTGTTGGAATCGCACAGGCATGGAGGGTACTTTTTCTTGATGTTTCCGCTACGGAGTGCCTTTGAGGTGTTTAGAGAGGGTTCCCTGGAGTGGTGCTATTGCGTGAAGCTTTTTAATGAAATGGCAGAACAGGGCGGATTTCTGCTTGCTCGAAGGTTAATGCCATCTGGCCTTCGGGGAAGATTGATGTCAGATGAAGCAATCAACACTTGAAGATTCCAACATTTGTTCAAAGATCGACTCCTATATTCACTTCAGACGACGCTCTCAAGAACTCAAAGAAACGACACAAGACTTCGCGCTTCTCCATGAGAAAGGCCATTGGGGGACTTTGATGGAATATCGAATGGACTGGCATGAACCTTGGTAGTCCAGGCTAACTTTTGAACAAGAGCACGGGCCCTGAAAGATCGCACACCTGTATTATATACACGAGAACAAGACTTTTCTATATTTCAGATCCTGTTCTATCTTCACTCCCAGTATCACACACTCATAATTCAAATTGAATTCACTTGAGACTTTGTCTAAGCCACTCTCTGGGCGTTGCTTTGGGGCAAAGGTACAAGAGAATTTCCAATCTTCATTGGAAGTTCCTATATACAAGTCACTCGTTAGACGTTAGACGAGCAAGTGCGAATATTTTGTTCTGACCATGAAAACTGTTCAAATGAAATTGATTTCAACAATATCCCTCTTACTTTCATTCATCGCATCTCGTGCTTCGACGAAAACTCTCCAGCGATTACCATGGTAACTGTTGAACATGACTTATCTTCGCATATACAACCAACTTTGAGTATAACAATAATTTCAATCACAAGAGAGTTAATTGTCCCTCACTTTTGACCCCACATCGGCTCCAGAACTCTTCTGTGGATAGTAGTACCAATGTTCGGCATTTGGAATTCCTTTCTATTCCAGACGCTGGCATATTCCACTCTATTTGAAAGGAGGGCCGAAATGTTCCACTCTGGAATGGAATCGTGGAATCGTCACCAGATGCCGAACGTTGGTGAATACAAACCCATCTCACCTCCCAAACAGTCTCTCCGAAACTATACATGAAAGGTAGTGGAGTTTTTCAATCCGTGACTACATGTATCAAATTCTTTGTTATATTTCCTGTCTTATGATCACAAGCCCCACCGATGAAAATCAAGATTAGGCAACTGCTTCGGTCACGCAAACATATTCATAGATTCATCTAACCTTACTACAAGGATCGCGATCGAGAGTCGACTGTGTTTTGAAGTTTTAACGATATATGTGCACATGGACCGAGCAGAGCCAAAACATCGTTATGTATCTGAATTTCCGTAGATTAATTTTCCCTACTTATATTACGCGGCTCAAGCCCCAACTATCACCAGACATACATATATACCCATGCATCGATCATACACAATCTATGGAAATTCAAAACTTCCGTACTCGCTTTCAGATCAGCCTAGATGCCCATGCTTTTTCGTCTCGTCAACACAAAACTCAACCCTCCTCGCTTAACTGAACATATATTGTACCCTTATAGTATGATGTAGGACAATCACATCAAATGAAAATCCCCAGAAGACAAGTTAAGAACCCAAAAATCCACCTCACACCCCATGATACATACCTTTCCATAAACTGCATCTGCCTCGCTATTTCCCAATCTTGCACACCCGATATACCCGAGATACCTCTTGTTTACTGAGCGCCAAACTTCCACCTATCACCCTCCCCGCCTCCAAGTTCCAACCATACGAGCCTATTAACCTACCTATCAACTACCTCACACTATCAACCAACCATCTCAATACGTTCCGTCGTACTTTAAAGACGCACCAAAAAGAAACATGAAACACCCCACTCTTCCTAACTCCGAAACCCACTCCAAGAATAATACCCCTCCATATATAACCTTAAGATCAGCCTATTATTCCGAAGCGAAAGGCATGTCTGCAGCAGCACTGCACTACATGTACCTACCCTACCTGGTACCCTAACCCAACCCACCCTCGCCTCAGTTGCGCATGAATGAGACGCTAGAAACCCGTTTCCCCGCTGCGCCCCACCGACGACAGATGCAAGCAATCTATCCGCAACACCACAACCCAAAAGCCCATTCTTATCTCAACCTCGATGTAGAATTTCGACGTGGATACTGGATGATTGGTTCGCTTGGGTTCCTCCTCGTTTCTTATCTGATGATCATGCATCTCGTTTAGTATTTTGCCTTTCTACACATCTAGACCTTTTTATTTCGCGAAAATAAAAAATAAAAATAAACCACATCTTCTCGTCTAATCTCGTCTTTGAGGTATTTAACGTATACACCTGACGAAACAACTACTCATTTTCTTATCTATAGAATATCCAAAATTCCCGCTAGTCTCTATCGCCACGCGACTACTATATCCATATTTTCTTGACCTTGTCATTTTTGAGATCATCTTCGCAAGCTATTCTACATAACACCTGTAATTCTGTACACCCCTACCGACACCCTCACGAAATACTTTCAGCTCACAACTTCAAAGCCTTTTGACTTTCACAACCGAACTCGTACACACATGCATCCACCTCCCTTTTCAGTTCCACTCTACAATTGTTCACTTGCCACCCTACCTCATCGCCGCCTCTTCTTCCCCGCATACCCAATCTCGAATCCAAAGTCTCTTGCCCCAACCCGGTCTGATCTACATGCACATGTCCTCTTCCGATTTATCACAAGCCACACTTTATTCATCCATACACTTCTACATTCGCGTACCCCTACCGCGACTTGCCCCATCGTTTATGCATCTAGTTTTAGGCGTCTGTACTGTACACGCATGTACCCCATCTTTTCCGTCTCGTCTCCCGTATTGATATTATCACGTAAGCATACAGACTACACGCGTTCGAGGAGGTACATGCATACATGCATGCATGCGTACACGGTACACCCAACATCTCATTCGGCACACACCTAAACCAAACAACTACATTCATCACCGGTACTGTACAGTACAGTACATGTACCAAATTACTCATACACCTCTCACGCAGCATCTCCCTTCTGCATCTCGTATTGCGAAACTAAACCCAAGACCACCTACAGACATATCACAGCTACACTCATCTACGTCCATCACACCCCCAAAACACTCCCATGCACACACTACCACCTCCCCCATTCTTCCCTGTTGCCGTATGACAAAACACAACCCCCTCTCCCCCCCTCCCAAAAACACCCAAAACTCAAATCATATTATTCCTCAACGCTATCTCAAATCCGCATCAATACCTCGTCATCCCATTCCCATACACCCCATACAACCTCCCCCATTCTTCACCCTTACCCCGGTATAAACAAGCGACAACCTCATACCCAACCCCCTCCATGCGTAAAAGACACAATACAATACACACATCCCCGCCCGAAATGACATCATGCCCGTATAGGATACACCCTTCCATGTACCCATACATCCACGGTCTACACCTACCGTGACCGACGTCGTATTGCTCACCTAGCCCCCAAAACATACACCGTACATCAATACGCCGTACACCTACATACGCAATACCGGCGGAGATGCATATGTGTGTACACCACTAACCTACCCTACCTTACAGTATTCTAGTTACACCTACTCCCCAAGTCCCCAAGTTCCCAAGTTCTTACATCCAATCCCCTCTCATCCCCACAATACCGTCTCAAGCCCACCTGTAAGCTATACAATAACCCATTCAGAGCGGCCACGCGGAAGCAGATAGCGCTAGCAGAGACACCAAAGAACCACCATTCCATCGTAGGAGTATTAGAAGTTCAGGTGGTACAGCAGTAAATACAGTACACCCCTTCCTGTGGATCGTGGCGTGAGATCATATAGTAGCAGGGGTTTAGCGTGTCTACTACCTATAGAGCCTTTGTGAAGGAAGTATTTTTGTAGATATGGAATCTTGATTTTCACTACTTTACCTATAGTTTTATTACTTGAACTGAAATAGAAACATGACCTCTAATACCGCACCATATGGCCTGATCTAAACCCGTAGTATTAATTCCACACTCACACTCACACTTGCCACTAACTCACTAACCATAAAACGCACCCAATTCCACTAACACAACACAGCCTATGTACGTAGCATTTTAATCTTTATCACTTAGTACCTGACTTGATGTGAGATTCCTGTCGAGTGACGGTTATATAGGATTTGTATTTGATTTCAATTATTCACTTACAGGTACTAAATAACACACTTACTCACCTCCCTCACTTCTTTCAGCTCAGCTCACCTCACCTCACCTCACCTCACCCATAACCACCACAAGTTCCAAAACGAGAGCGAAAAAAATAAACACTTCACATTAAAAAAATTAAAATTAAACTTGAAATTAAACTTAAGGTCCCAACTCCCCCTTTCCCCCGCCTTTCCCCCTTTCCCCCTACCCCCATTCCCTCAAATCCTAATCCTCAACTCCTCTCAAATCCCCTCAAATCCCCTCAACTCCAACTCCCACAAACGCCACAGGACCACAACCGCGACCACGCCCAAATAACAACAACTCATCATAAAAACTCAAAAACGGACAGAGAGAGGGGGGGTATAAACGATATTTCGCAATTTCAAACAAATCAACAATCCAAAAACATCACACACAAAACACACAAAAAGACAAAAAAACACGAAATGCACAAAATACAGAAAAAACACAAATCAAACGAAGAAGCAGAAAAACACAAATCAAACGAAAGAAGCAGAAGCAGCAAGTGTAAAAGTAAAAGGAATAAGGTATATCCATCTCCCATCCCCAAGCAACTAACCCTCACTCCCTCCCCCATCCATCCACATCCACATCAACCCTCAAAACTCAAAAAAAAAAATCACCCCTCTACAAACACCACCCAACAAACCACGCAAACACCACCCATCCCCAAAACTCCCCCCATCAACCAACCAGTAAAACACCCACCAAAAAAATGCTATCCCCTCACCTGCGTGCCTTTCCTTTCTAAATTCTAATTCCAATATTGTATCCGCTGCCCACAAAAAAGATGCTACAATACAATACAGTACAGTAAAAAACTACAAAAACTACAAAGCCGAAGAAGAAAAGTATGACAACACCAAACAATAAAACCAAAAAGAAAGAAATAAGAAGAACAAGAACAAGACCAAGCCTGCGAATGTGTGGAGATGAATTTGTTTCTTTTCGCGCAAAAAATAAAAACAAGAACAAAAATCCCTCCCAAATCCAAATCCAAGTCCAAGTCCAAGTCAAAGAGACACACAAAACAAGACCCCCCATACCATCTCCCCTCCCTCATGCTATCCCTCAATTCCCCCCATCAGAAAAGATTTTCCCATCATGTGCTCATTATCCCCAAGTGGAGGTACTCAGTGCCCCGGATTAATCACCATGCAAATTGACTCATGCCTTCTGACCGCAAAACAATAAAACAAGCGAAGGAGAAAAAAAAGAGATACCAAACACACACGCTTTGCTTTACACTTGTCGCATTCAAGGTAAATACTTTTTCGTAAAAGTCCCTTCACTATAGCTTTAGCAAAAAAAAATAGAAGGCATCTTTCCCACCGATCGGTGATGCAATAAAAAAAATAGTGTCCGAATCAAGAAAATTCCCCAAAAATTCATTATGAAATATGCACCATCACACACACCACACTCCTTGAAATGCTCATCTGAACCCCCATAGACTCCTAAACCCCATCTGCATATGCGGGAACCCCCGACCCACATACAAGACAAAACAAAACAAGAGATGGATATCTAAAACAGGCAGGTATTGATTGCGGGAAGGAAACAGGGAACAAGGAACGGAGAATTGATTAAGCCGAGGGTATAGGTGCTTGTTGAAGGGAACATGGGAATTGGTAGGCTGAAAGCAATAAGATGTTGACAGGGATCACGATGGTGGAAGAGGGTGTCGAGGAGGTTGTGATGTAGACCGACGAGGGCGTCATGGATGGCATTGGCGTGCCCACTGCCCACTGCACTGCCCAGACGGCCAGCCAGATGAGTATGGAGGATGTATCTCCAAAACGGGGCAATTGATCTGAAGGGTGCAGGAAAATACGACCAGTCAATCCAAGCTTGATGGAGGTTGTACGTCTGATAACGTCTTCTGGCGTTGGGCGTATTGCAGCGACCAGGCTTGATGCTATCCACAGATGGTGGTGTAGTATGGGCTGCGCGTATGAGGGGATACGAGAAAAACTAGGGTTGGGAGCGCGGGGTGGCTTGTGTGGCGCATGACCAATGATTCGTGCAGGACACCCTCAAACGAGCCCCCCCAGTGGCCCCCTCATGGTTCCTCACCCAATCAGCCGACGGCATGCAAACATCATCGCGAGAGTGGCATCTGGTGACTCTGGTGTTGCTGCTGCTGCTGCTGCTGTGAGAGACTTCGTGGAAGCCGGCTCTCTCCCCCGGTCACCGCAGTATCCGCAACGTTGCGATTGTAATTCATCGGTTGGCTCAATGCTTGATGGTGAGGGGGGCCAGAAGCACCAGCTCCGCCCGTAGTGTTCGCGGCGTTGTTTTCGAGATACGGCGACATATCCCATGAACCTCGACTGTTCTGCGGTGGGCCCAACTGTGGGTACTGCTGCTGCGAACTCTGCATGTGATGCGGCGCGCCCCCTTGCCAATGATTAGACGGCTCGTGGGGGTGGGTGGGCAGGCCCACGCGAAGATCAGGAGGACCACCCGTCAAGGACATCGTCTTCTGGCTTAGAGGCGAGAGCACTCGCGCGGGAATGTTTGCCGCATAGCCCGTTGAACTTGTCGACCCTGAGATCGATCGTGGTGAGAGAGCCCCATGATGATCTCCAACGTAAGAGATGCCGGCAGATGATCCTTCAGGAGCATAACCGCTCGAACTGGCAGGCGTCAGGATCGAAGCCGGACTGGCAGACTGACTCTCAATTAGCAAAACTTCCACGGCAAACTGTAAAACATTCAGGTACTCACATATTTACCGACGATCTTCTTGAGGGCCGACGCTAGATCTTTCCAGTGAAACACTTTGACGTCTTTCTCGATGTTGCGAGGCTTGGGGGTTGGGAATTTCATGATGACTTGGAAGAACTTTTCACTCTCGGCCTTTCCCTTGGACACCGTCAGGGGACGAAATCCTTCTAGATTCCTTCGGATCCGATTCTTCTCCTCAACCGTAAAACGTTCTGAGATTAACTGCTCCAGGAGGTAGATGGTGTCCACGCTGGTGACAAAATATTCATTTCTCTCTTCCCAGAAGATACAACTAATGCAAATACTGGATGGGTTTCGATCTTCAGGGGTCACAGGTTGAAATGTAGTGGTGATTGTGCTCCCTGATTGTGACCTTCGGAACACTACCAGTCTTCTTTTTGCGTTCTTTTCTTCTTCTGACCATAGATCTCGCATGGAAGTGAGTTCACCGTTGATTTCAAGCTTCGCCTTATTCGGGTAAATGGTGTACGCGTTAAAAGGTTGACCAGGATGTGATCCATGAGGTGTGGTTCCAGGGCTGGGGGTGTTCTGCAGTGTTGATGTTCTAATCAGGGCTGGATTTGCCGATGAAGCGGGTGACGGAAGCGCTGACAAGGATGAGCGATTCATCCCTCCATGACTTCTCCCCATGGAAGATCCGTAAGGACCATTATTCCAAGTTCCGACTTGTGGCGAGGGGGCTTTGTGAGTTGGGGGGGAGGCATTTGAGGAATTTGAATAACCATATCCCAGATGTCTTGATGATGGTTGCGAATGAAACCCGGGTATTGCTCGCTGGTATTGCGGGACAATACTGCTGTAGGAATGACTTGTTGGTAAATATGACGAGTATGACGAACTTCCATCACCAGCTTGGCTGTAGCCATAGCCTCCTCCATACTCTTCTTTAGGTCGCAAGAGTTGTGATGCAGACCTCTTCACGGGGCTCTGCATTAAATTCGGGGAGTCGGCAGATACCTTTCTTTTCCTGGAAAGGTCATGTCCTTCATTTGCACTTTGTATGGAGCTGATATAGGTAAAACTGCCAACGCTGGTTTTGGCCATCACATCTCCGTCCCCACTCTCCATGAGCATCTCAATGGGTACCTGCGGGACATCCCAGTTCGTTTCCGCAAAATCCGGCACATTGGCCGAAAGTGTGTACTGGCAAACCCCACCCTGCTGGTTAGACTTCGAGATTGATGCCTGACATTTGGATTGACCAAAGTTCAGAAAGAATACCGGCGTATTGCTTGTCAGCAGCTCGTAAAGAGAAGTGATGTAAACATAAATTCTTGTATCCCCGGAACCTCTCGTGGGCGAGAATGAAGTTACCTCGAGATTTGGCGTAGAGCCGACATTCAAGAAGGGCCCCGATTGATCATCATAAGGTGCCCGACTATGTGAAGATGGAAATGTCATTGGTGTCACTTGGGCGGGGTTGGGAAATCCGGGCGTTGAGGCTGGAGATGGACCAGGCTGAGATCCGTAGGAAGGCGCTGCATATGGAAACGAACCTTCAGGATAAGTTCGCGACGCATCATAGCCTACCTTGGACATCAGTAACCTTTGGATCACTGACCGACGATTGGAATCAAGAACCCACTTACCATGAAGTTGAGGAGGTTTCCCGTAGGCAGACATAGGGAAACGATCCTTTGGGGAGTGCACCCTAGCCACAAGGGCTCCCTCGTACCCTTCTTCGTGAAATGCTGCACTCTCGGGCGAGGGATATGACTCGTCCACAATAATGGGCGTATGGGACGAGAAATGTTCAGGCTGCAGCAGGTGAGTCAGTAAAGGACGCGCGGGAAGCCATAGGCAACAACCAATTTTAGGGACGAGAGGCAACTTACCCCAAGCGAACCGTAATTTGAGTATGCCAGTTTGGCGGTTGCAATTAGACCGGAGGGGAAATAACGAGCGATGACCACCAAGCAGATCCTAAGTATGCGAGACTGTCGTAGACTTCCAACGGAAAGACAACTTCTTGAATGCTTCTATCTCACAACTTCCAGGGTGAGAGAGACCAGACAATCGTGTCGGGTGGAGTCGTTTTGCGTTAGACCTCGATCAAGTAAAAGGCAAGTGCAGAACTGTATGCCCAGTTGCTCTGTCGGATGTTTTATTAAAGTTTGAATGGCTTGGACTAACGATGGTTGCTGGGAAGTTAAAGAGGAGCGTTGGGATTGAATGCTTCAGTTGCTGGACTTCTGTTGGACGTCTCGTTGCCGGATATACTAAGTTAGAACCAAGAAGACGTGAACGGGCAAGGATCGAGTCTCGGAAGTATGAAACTGGAGAATAAAGTATTGAAAGTATTGGTGCTGAGTGAGTGGGACGGGTCAGCCAGCTGGTCGATAATACCAGAATGATAAAGAGGGAACTGGATCGATGGAGGCCCGAGTGGGATTTGAAAAGCTGTACTTACCGAACAAGACAAAGACTTGAAGCTGTTGACGTTCGACTTGAGTTGGCCGGGTCCCAGAGGTTATGCAGCCACCCGAATATGCGAACTGGAAGAGAACTTGTTAGTCGACTAGGTTATGTCGTCACGGTCATGCTTGCAAGTGCCGGTGACTTTCCAAACGAGATACTGGGGGTGTAGAAAAGGTGGTGTAAACAGGCAAGCATATGTACACATGCGAAGTTGAAGTTGGAGACGAGGCGTGGGTGTGCTTCTGGCGCGAGATGTTGTGCACAGATGACTTGATGCAGGGATGCAAGGGGGGGTGGTTGAAGAATTGGGTGCAAGAGGAGCTAAGAGAAGCTAAGGGGAGCTAGCAAGAGCACTCACATTTAGAGGGGTGTAGGGAGGGAGTGGGGTCAAAGTGCCGTGCAGCCCAGCCCGGTGCAGCTCTTTTTCTCTTTTCTGTAGTGGAGCAAACGCGCAGGACACGCCTTGATTGAGTCCTCTAGAAGCTGGAGCCAAGTCCGGGCAGACTCTCCACCTCACCTTACTCCACGACCGTGGCCGCGTGCAAAGCGGCTGATGGTTAGATGGGGGTTGGAGGAGTGAACTGAAAGAGGTCACCACAAGCGAATGGTTGTTTTAGCGTAGCGGCACGGAAGTGTCAATAATAGAGCAACGCAAGCTCCAAGTGCCCAGGACTGTCAAACTTCGGCTTCTGTGTAAACGTCAACGTTTTCTCGTTTCGTTTCTAGCTGGTTCGTTTTCTAGATCGAGCCAGGTTGGAATTGAAGGATACACGAGAACCTCCGAGAATATGATATCTGCTGAAATCTGCTGAAATCGCCGCGAGTGGGTGTGTCTAGGAATCCGGAGTAAGTCGCAATAATGGCGCCGAAAGAGGAAGAAACACGGTCGATCAGATCTGGGTGGGGGACCGGTGTGGCTGCAAGATGGAGGGAAAAAGAGAGAGGGAGTGGGAGAGAGCGCAAGAGAGAGCAAAAGAGAGAGAGAGAAGGTCCTCGGGAGTGCTCTGGTCTGGGTGTCTATTATCCCACTTCCTCCAACACTCGAATGTCCTTGTCCCGGGCGTGTCGAGGTCCAAGTCCCGGTTCTCCAAACAGAGGCGGCCAGATTTTCCTTTCATGCGGTGAGTGGGTGCAGGTTTCGAGAAGATGGCGTCGCGGATATGAATATGGAAAGACCGCAAGGAGGCTGCCGATCTAGCAGATCATACCAATCAGTATCATATAGGGACTCCCTGTGAGGCCCAAGACCGATGAGATTGCCGGAGCAGAAGAAAAGAAAGAAGCTCTTCTGGAAAATGACGAGACGGAAGTGCCAATGGTGCCAGTGGTCCCAGAGACAGCCAAGGAGGTTGATCTGATCAGGGTCCGGCGAGGTTGGTCCTGGGAGAGGAAGTCTAGCTAGTAGAAGTAGCAACGAGAAGCAGCTCTTGATGCCCTCAAAATACAGCGCGGTGAGCAAGGCGAAGAATCATTGTGGTGTTGTCCCGGCTTTAGATTTGCTTGGTCCCGTCTACGGTGCGTCGGGAATGGCCTGTATGCCGTAGAAGACGGAGTATGGTAAAGTTATTCGTAGTGCCGCTCGAGGCTTGGAATGGAGGGAAGGCGCCTTCGGGGGGGTCTGGGCCTGTGCCTGCCGAGTAGAGCTAGCTGGAGAGCTAGAGCTAGAGCTAGAGGCTAGAGAGCTAGTTTGGATTATGACAGCTGGTTGTTGATGTGATGGGGTTCTGGTCGGGAGCGGCGTCGGATTGGAAAACTGGTGGTTGTGATTACCTCAACACTCACAGCACGTTGTTGGGATGAGGGCATCCAAGGAGAGGTATCTCTCTTCTCTCTTGGTCAGGGCAGAGCAGGTGTGTTCACGCCACCGCTCCTGCTTAAGGGGAGAGCGTGAGGCGAGGGCGAAGCACAGCTGTGAAGGACAGAAACTACAGCCCAAATACTCGGTACAGTTCCTACGTACGTTGCTCTCGAAAACACCGCAAGCTGGACACACGATCGAGAACCACCTTTTTGCAGGACGCGGAGGTGGAGGTCACGAAGGGGTCACGGGCGAGGGGGCATCTTCAGTCATGGCAGGCAGCTGGAGGCCGTAGCCGCACATAAAAATACCTACAGTACAAGTACTGTACAGAGTCCCTCCTACGTCCAGGCTATACGGAGCAGGTACCAGGCCAAGCAGATGGGGCAATTCCGACGGCGACATCGTTTCTCGCTCGCGAGAGGATATCCCAAGATAACCAGGTTTGCACGCCTACCCCCCCGTACGGAGTATGCTCTGTAACCACTGGCCTTGCGCTGTACGGAGTACATCGTGGGAGTACTGCGTATTGCGTACAAGGTACGCCCCATGCTGAGTTACCAGCGACGCCATCCCGACCAGTCGTGCTCCCCCAGGTGCGGTCGAGGTCAAGCCTCTGTATTGATGAGTGGCTTTGGTTGTGGCAATGTTTACTGGCAATGAGTGGAGGACAGCTTAGCAGGGCGGGTGTCGCGGGAGAAGCGAGTTGTCGTCAAAAAATGCATATGCTGTTCATCTGCGCTTCTGCGCTCTGACAGACCGGGCAGGCATCATGCCAACAGGGGACGCGGGCGGGGCCTCTCGTACAGTGCTTCTACGAAGTATCCAAGTACATAAAAGTAAAAGCGGCCGTCGATCGCTCTCATTGATTACCTAAATTTCCGGTACGAGGATATGGGCTTCCACTGCCCTCGAGTTCTCCTGAGGTGAGCATCATCATCCAAAGCAATGCTTTGAAGTGTTGACCAATTTCCATGCCCAAAATCCATCCCTTGGATCAATAAACAGAACAACGGGCGCTATGTTCGGCAGCTACAGCTTCGACACGAGCAGAACGAAGGGCCGGGGACGGGATACGGCACTGCGAGGACCAAAATAGAAGTCAAGTGCCTTAACTCCTTCGTTCTGGGCTGGGCTGGGCTGGAAGTGGCCCTGAATGACTCTGTTCGCTCACATCTCCACCGCCTCCGAGCTAAACATACGAAGTATTAGAAGTAGGCTAAAGTTGCTTCAGAGGAAGCTAACTTTGGAGGGGAAAGCTTGACAGTAACCAATCTGGCTCTGCACCGACATCTAATCTCTGCTGACACTGGACCCCTCGTCTCCGTCCCTCCAGAGATTGACTCTGGCACTGGCACTGGCACTGGCTCTGACTAAACATGGGAGGAATCTGTCATCCGCCTGTCACCTGCCCTGCCAAACACCAACTCCTGCGAACATCCTGTGCAGATGCTGAATCCAATGCAAACTCATCCTCTTGTTCCTCCTCTCCGGACGAACCGAACCGTACCGACCGCCTGGGCCCGTACTTATGCTAATGCTCATGCTAATGGATATCAGCTTGTGCATACGTGTACGGTAAGCACATCTCAGGAAACCCCTCCTCACAAAATACCGAGGGGTTCCCGTAAGTACCTCCGTACCTTGGCCTGCCTATAACGAGCGCCTCTTAAGCCTCCAGCTCAGGCATAGCCATGGCATGGCATGGCATCGCGGCAGCGATTGAGATAGATGTGCATGCATTCTGCACCTGCACGGCAATCCGATGAGATTGCTCCTCTCGTCGATTGGGACCAACGCCTCAACGGATTTTCCTGGTGGAGGGACAGCGGGGTTGATAGGGCCCCTTAATACTTCTACTTTCTACGAAGTAGTCGTATCGACGATGAAACTTTGAGCTTGAGATTGAATTGGAGCTGGAGCTGTGAGCACTCCCACTCCCACTCCCGGTGAGCAGCCGCATCTTTGGCTAGAGTGACGCCGGCAATTGAACCAGCCTGCCCATCAATCCGGCCAAGATGACCCATCGTCCAATTGTTTTCAGATCGTCTCCGCGCTTGCAGAGTTTCTGTGCGACCATCAAACGGTTCCGCGGATAGTTTGATTTAGTACGGAGGAGACTCCAGTACCGTAGTTTAGACTCTAAGACTGCTTAGTACTGTATACAAGATACTACCGGTATAGTACCGAGGGCAGTGCCGGACCCAGACCGCCAGAAAAGTTGAGGATCTTCCACCTCGAAACATCTCCTTCAATGCTGAGACTGAACGAAAATGGGAATGGCAATGGTAATCAATGGCAGCGACAGAAGCCGACCAAACAGCTGCAGCCTGCAGCCTCCTTCCACTGCATGCCTCTCTATCCACACATCATGGTCTGCGGGGAAATTGCTTATATTCCAACTGGGAACTTCGCTGAAACTCGGCTCGGCTCTGCCCGATCGTTGACTCCGCAACACCATACCACAGATGAGGAAACTCGGTTATATAATCATCATAATACGGACAGGTTGATTGCGATCGACTTGGTCGTAGATCAGCCCAATGTCCCAAAGAAGTCGCCAGCTGGCTTGTTGCTGCCAATATTGGCCATTTTTCGGACGCCCTCTTTGATAGCGCCAATCATAGATTCATCACCGAAGACCCGCATCTCAGATTTATGATCGACGCCTGGATGAGCTCAGCGGGAGACACCACATTCTTGCCCAGGACTGGACAGGGCAAGCCCTGGGCCGTTCTGTACGCCACCTGCTCACCCTAGTCAGTAGGGATTGCAGGCGTGTTGGGCGCAGCGCAGCTGCACCACTGAACTGGCGATGTGAGCTTTCTTCCCCACGATGCCTTCGTACAAGCTGTACTTTGTACCTCCTCCACCGTCCCTCGTCCCACATCACCACGAGTGAAGAACCGAGACCAAGTCTTCCAGAACCGCCGCTCTTGCTGTCGTGTCCTGCTGAGGGTGCAACACTCATCTTGCATTGCGCGATCCCGGCTCGGTGAGTGTCACCAGAGCCAACGGGGAAGAAAAGGTACACAACCTATCCGCAGTGCGGTAAACACATCTCGTCATTGGAAGCACATCACTCCACTGGGCACATTCTCGTCATGTGCGCTATGAATAGCATGAATAGCCATCTAAGAAGGCGCAAGAGGTCCAACCAGCCAGCCATGAATCGTTGAAGTCATTGGTCAACCAAAAACGAAGAGCAGAAAGTAGAAAGCACCATATCATCCATCCCCCAGTGCCCGCCTATCGCCGAGTTTGACTGAACATGAGTTGAGAGGAGGACGTCCCATGGAAACGCTCGTGGCTGTGTGTTTGATTCCCCGCCGTATTTCGTTCGCACCAAATCCTGTCGTCAGCTGAAATTTTCATGCATGGGTATGTGGTCGGTGAAGTTGGCGAGACGAAGAGGAAAGTATGAAAGCCCAACAACGACTGGCCAAAGCGGCATTGAAGCCGCAACATGAATTAAGTTGCAGATCGGGAGATCATAATGCAGGGACAAACCATTCAACCAGGTTCATTTCTTTGAATTCACCGACTATTTTTGACCCTTCTCGGACCTTTTGCATCTTCTCTTGTCATTCAATCACTTTCGTTCCAGTTTGAGTCCTAAAGCCTTGTAGCAAAGGCTTCTACTTTCAAGGGCCGGACGGGGCTTCTGATAGAAATCCCCGCCCTATGCGGGCAGAAAACTATGCGTCAACATTGAATGTACTTTGAGGTATGAGGGTAGGGCCTGGGCTTTTGCTTGACAGGTGTCAATTGAGCCTCTAGCGCCTCTTTCAATTTGGCATACGCCATTCTCGAATGGAAAACCACTCCTCGAGCCCGCAATAACATCGTGCTCCTTCAAATGCAAGGTCCCATTCCCATCATCCTTCTCGAACCCGAGTCCTGTAATTATCACGGAGATCACTTGATCACAACAGGACCGATCATCGGGATCTCTCTCCCCCCGTTTTGTTTGGTAACACTTTCCACCGTTGATGAAGGACATTAAGGGCATTCTTGAATCGCATCGCACAATATGAAAGGGTCGCGACGACGTTTCTTGGCCCCCCCATGTTGACAACAGATAATTTCTTAATCAGAACATGCGGCGCTCGGTCTCTCGAAGCCCAAATCCCAAGTACCCACTCCCTTCTTATCCACCATGCCGCTTTTCTCTTCCCCCCAACGAACAACGAACTTCTTCGGCAACTTGCATGTTTGGCTTCGTACAATTTCGGCATCACCCGGGGACCGCCTATCACCTCTCCTTCCAGGTTCCAGCAAATTGAGAGTTCGTGCCAACATGACTCTCTACTCCTGTCGAAACGAAATTCTGGATTTGCCGCTGTCTGTGTCGTTCACGCAGCATGTTGTTCTGTTTGATCTCCTGCCCAACCCTCCCAATCTTTTCAACCACGGCTTCGGAATATTTCCCCACTGATTCTGTCACATTTTCTTTTTTGGATTTTTTTTGGGATCTCGGTACCTGAAATCCGGAGAAAGAGAACCAGCCCCAAAATGAAATGTGACGCTGCGGCAACTCAAAATGCAAAATCAACGCAAAATATGCATGTCATCCCAAACACGCGGTCTTTCCTCCCATGATGGGGTCGTTTTTGTGATCGGATACGGAGGCTGTAGAACATCCGAATCTGGTCTTTTTTTATCATGCCTTGCATCCCCCCTCCCAAATCTCTTCCACTAACCAGCCAGCCAAAAAAAATTTGTCGCGAACATGCGGCTGAGTTTCTTTTTTTGTACTAATGAAAGATGAAAGGGCTTTCATTATCCATCCCTTTTCGGACGAGATTTTTTTCTTTTCTTTTCGCGTGGGTGTCTTGGTTGACCACGCGATTTTTTACGAGACGATGAATCTTTTTTTTTTCCCCAACTCTCCTTTTTTCCAATTCTCCTTTCTTTCCAACTCTCCTTTTTTTCCCAACTCTCCGTTCCTTTTCTTTTTTATTCTTGTGATATAGACTGCACAATACAATGTACCCGGCTGAATTTTTTTTTCGATCCTGGATGGATGGACTATGGCATAATCCGGTACTTTTATGTATGTATTGTATAAAGCCGGCCAGTGGCCAGTGGCCACCTTCTTGCAGCTCTACTCTTGCTAATGGTTAATACGTCTTCTTCTATTATTTTTTTCCTAAAAATAGAATACTCTGCGATAATAGACGTTATTAAATTATTCTCTTAAATTATTCTCTTAATCGATTCTTCCTTTCTCTTCTTCTGTTTCTTCGGAATAAAGGGGGTGTTATATAATATAATAACGGTGTATATAGAGGTACCGCTATATAATACGAAGAGAAAAGTAAAGTAAACTATAAATAATCCCGTACCTAATAAACTATATAGAATAAAACTTCTTTCTTTTTTCGAGGGTCTTTTTCTAGGGGAGAAGGGGATATAGAGATTAATAAACCATCTATCAAGACCACGGTCCATGAGAGGATTCTCGGTTCTTACGTAGGTAGCTATAGGTATTTCCGAACTTGTTTACCTATATACTTCCCTTTTCCTTTTAGAGGGGGGATGGTTTATTATTCTTCTGTTTCTATTTCTGTTTCTTAATTTGTTCTAGTTGTGTTTTATTTTTTAGATAGAGGGTATAGTGGTTTTCTGAGATGAAAGATGGAAATTGATAATTAGGTAAATAAGTACGTTATATACCTCCGTCTCCCTTTAGCTTACTTTTAAAACCTATTCCTTTTATCCCTTCTATTATAGTAGTATATAGTATAATATATACTATCCTATACTCCTTCCTTTCCTTTCCTTTTCTTTCCTTATTGTAGTAAATAGTAAATACTATTTTTATATCTCACTATAGTACCTAAGGTTTACGAGATAAAAATGTTTACTTAGGGAGAGAGATACTAAAGTATAAAGTTGGAGGGGGGGAGGAAGAGTTGGGTATAGGTATAGGTATAGGGAGGTAGTTTTACTAGTGTTAATAAAGTTTTTGAAGTAAGGAATTGGAATTAGATGGGTTTGGTCTTTGGTCTTTGGATGGGGGGGTTTGGTATGTACTGGATGGATGGATAGATAGGAGGTTGATCTTTTTCGTGGAATAGTATCTTTCTTAGTTCGCAGGAGGGTTAGGGGAGAGGGAGAATATTTGAGGGATGTGGGGTTTGGATTAGGGTATAAGGTTCTTGAGGTGTTATTTATTCTTAGGTGTGATTGTATGATTGAGATACTATATAGACTTAGGGATGGGAAGTATTATCAGTACGAGATAAAAGGGATTCTTTCTATCCTCTCGCGCCTTTTCATCTATTGCTCTGTGGTAGGATTATGAACATACTCTTGTAACCCACTTGGTATGTTCGTTGCGTTTGATTTTTTATGGGATTATTGGGGGGTACTGATTGTGGGTTTTTGGTTGGTTGGTCGTCTTGCAGTCTTCGACTTATTGAAAATGGATAGTACACCTAGCGGATATATGATTGTAAAAGGAAGTTGTGAAGGTTACTCCTATCATTTTGTATTTTGGTTTGTGTATGGGTGTTCCAGATCGTTTACATTACATTAGTTGATTAGGAGTTATGGTGTAGAGGGTGAGAGGAGTGGTAATGGTTGTGTGTTTGGTTTGGGTTGGTGGCTTGTTTAGGGAGAGTTATGTATAGAGGTTGAGAGATTAGTAATGGTTGTATGTTCGGTTTGAATTGGTGGCTTGTTTGAAGAGTGAGTCTACGAGTGGTATATTTCGTTGTGGTTTTGAATTATTGAGATGGAGTCTATATACTGTATATAATGAAAATTCTTTCTGAAATATATGCGCTGCGAGATCGAGTTTCTTGGGCTAAATATGCGGGTGTCTTTCTGTAATGTTCTTGCCTAAGTTAACTTAGATTACCCTTGGGTGTTAAGCGAGAGGGTTGATGTGAGAAAGTCTGATGAGTGGAGTTTTAGGCGGATGTCATCATGTCTCACAGACACTAGGTGTGTATTTAGGGAAGAGCAGTATTCACAAGAAATCAGAAACTTTCATAAGAAGCTTTCATGGTCTCTTTGTTTGTTTCAATCTTTCCATTGTCCTTGATATAGTAAGACAACTTGGAGATATTTGTGGAAATCACCTCATATCCGAGAATATTACTACAGGACTTTTCCGAATTAGCTCTACTTCAGCCCTTTTAAAACTCTAGAAAAGTGCTAACGAGGTTTCAAAGTAAATTATACCTAAATGAATTAAGCCGAATAGTTCCTTCCAACCTCTAATATTTTGGTGCTATTTACTTACCCCACTTTTCTAGCCAAATAGGCTTAGATAACCATGCGGTTAGAAAGGGTCACGGTGAATAACATGCACATGAACCCCGCATTTATAATACACCAGTATCACGGTCACACAAATAAGAGCTATCACAAAATTTGAAGAGAGGGGGGACGGGGGGCAAATCCCAACTTCTACTTCTATTCAACATTTCTTCGCTAACAACAAAATGAGCATCTGCAACCCGTACCCCGCCTGCACACCAGGCTCTTCCAACTTCCCCGCGATCTCAGGAACTTCTCTCCTCGCAATAGAAGCCGCACCCGTAACAAATTATTCCTCATCGGGCTGGTACCAAAACAACGGACCGATCACACTCTCAGGCCTCGAGTTCTGCAATGTAAGCTTTACTTACTCACACACAAACGCAAATGATCATGTCAGTGTCCAAGTATGGCTTCCACCCTCCAATTCCTGGAATGAGCGCATGGTCGGGGGAGGCGGAGGTGGTGTAGGCGCAGGACTTTTCGACCAAGCGTACGTTGTTATGGCGGGAGCTGTGAATGAAGGATATGTTTCTATTGGAACTTCTGCGGGAGTTGCGAGGGATATCTATCAGTGGGCACTCGATGAATATGGAGACGTGAATCTGGATCTTCTGGAGAATTTGGGAAGTCGTTCGTTAGGCGAATTGGCAGTCATTGGGAAAAGTGTTGTGGGCCAGTTTTATGGAAGGGAACCGAAGTATAGTTATTGGAATGGGTGTTCGCAGGGTGGAAGACAGGGGTATGAACTTGCTCAGAGGTTTCCGGGTGCTTTTGATGGTATTGCTGCTTCTGCACCGGCTATAAATGTAAGTGGACTTTCCTCGAGTTGTTTTTTAGTAAGTTCTCGCATGTATGATTTGATGTTATCAAAACAGGGATGCGCTTTTAACATAGCTGTTCTTACGAAAAGAAATCTAATATCTCCCCAGTGGAACAAGGACTTAGTAGCTGGTCTCTGGGCACCCGTTTTCATGAACATGAATGGGTACCCATACAATTGCGAGGTATTGGCAATCACCTCTGCGGCAATATCAGCATGCGATCCTCTCGACGGCGTGACCGATGGGGTAATTACAGAAACTTCACTCTGCACCTTTGACCCTAGATCGCAAATTGGAAAGGAAGTAGATTGCCTCGCTGACTCTGGACTTCCAAAAGTAAAAATAACATCATCGGCAGCGGCTCTCATACAAGCAATCTGGGATGGAGCAAAACACCCAGATAACTCGAGCATGTTCCCGGGATATACCAAAGAAACTATGACAGGCGGCTCATTCGGTACGACTGGAACGACTTGTACTAATGGAACCTGTGTTCCCTCAGGATATCCTTTGTCGCGCGATTGGATTAGGCTGTTTCTTCTGCGAGATCCGGCTGCGAATTTGTGGAATGCCACTTGGGAACAATGGGACAAGTGGTTCTATGAGAGCGTGCGAAAATATGGCAAGTTCATGGAAACCGATTCGACGGACCTTCGCGCTTTTGGCAAATGTGGTGGGAAGTTACTTACTTTCCATGGAGGGGTTGGTTTATCCCTCTTTCTTAACAATCATGAGAGTTAACTTTTTCGCAGGCAGATCAACTCATCACCCCCAAAAATTCAGAAGTTTATTACGACGAGGTAACATCTGTGGATCCAGGGATCCATGGTTACTATCGTCTGTTTCTAGCACCTGGTGTTCAGCATTGTAATGGCGGTCCCGGTGCGTTTCCATATGGTACCTTTAAGGCTTTGGTGAAATGGGTGGAAGAGGGTATTGCTCCAGAGACTTTGGCTGCCAGAAGTATTCCGAAAGGGAACGAAACTGTGTTTGAGAGGACACTTTGTGCGTATCCGAAGAAGCAGTTTTATAATGGTGGTGATGTGAATTCTGCGGATAGTTTTGGGTGTAGATGAAGATTCGGGATTTGGCTAGATTAGTCACAAGCGTATGGGCCTGGGGCCAGCTTGAGTGGAATAAGCAGAAGGATTAGAGGACAAAATGTCAGTGCTGGTGGCACATGTACTCATTTGGAATCAATGGCAAAATGCCTCAGTGAACACTGGTGAGATATATAAGGAGCGCATTGTCAAAGAAAGAGGGGAAAGTCGATACAGAGTTCGGGTAAAGAAGAAATTTGATGTTTCCTCGGACTTTTAAACAACTGACTTATACCAACTCTTTCCACATACTTATAGAGACATACCCTCCAACCCTGCTTTGAGCTTACTATACGCATCTCCTTCCTCTCTACGACTTTGAAATAAAAACGACCCTTCTACAAAAGATTCTGGAAAGGTTTACCCTAAACTCCTCACAACTTCATCACTAAGAACCGCAAGTCTCAACTACAATACGATAATTAATTACAGCACTACTACTGCCTCTCCCTTTCCAGCTGCAAAACACACATTCTCGTGAGAATGAAAGTGACGCCATCACTATAGCCAGATTATCTAACAGATCACTTCTTAGGAGAGGCTTTGCTCTGAAAGATATAAAAGCAAAAAACCAGATGCGGTCAGAAGAAGGAACTATTGTGTTGTTTATTGTAAACAGATGAGTAAAGTCATGATCAACTGGAAGTGCCTCATATTAGATACCTATTCAGATAACTAACATTTTTTATAGAGGGAGAAGTGAAAATATGACCTTTCTTTAGCGAAGTGTCACTACAGGAGACCGCAAATCTCACTCCATCAAACATCAGCTGTGGAAACACAGTTCAGATCATTTTTGCACGTCGGAATGAACTTGCCCAGCAGATCTCAATCCGCCCATCTTTTTTTGCATATTGAGGCCTTCAGTGCCATTTCATTGCTACGCCTTGAGCTCTCAGCTTTCTGTTGAAAGTGGTTTATAGAAATGAAGTGAGCCAACAACTAGTGTAGCCTAGCAACTATTCCAATAGCCCAACATACTTACAATACATAAGCACGAGTCTTCAACCCATGTGCTTGTCCAATACAAATACACCCCAAAGACGCATGAATTCCCGAAGGAGGAACGAGTAAACAGTCCTCTCGCCGCCCTCAAGAGGAACTCTCTCTGGTACTCGGCCCGATGCCAGTGATTCTCTTCAATCAGAATATGATCGCGATCACCAGGCCCCTTATCTAAAAGACACAAAGCTTTCAGCACCGACAGCAAAGCGAGCAGCATAGATGGTTCGGACGACAGGTTCGTTTCGCCTTCTCAAAAAATTTAGACGAAAGAACCAATCACACGACTAGACCATGTTGAAACCTGCACCACAGTATTTACATTTTCGTCGCTTTGATGAACCTTCATCCATCAAAATCCTAGTCTGGCGAAACTTGCTCGCGGGACTTTCAGATGCTGGGCAGCCCCAAGTCAAAAAAAAGAGGTGCAATCAACTCAAAGCAGCAATGAAGCCTTTCGGAGAGATTGTGACGTTCATCTCGTGTCATATTCTCTGTGCTAGTGATATGAGTAGATGTCAGGCTAAGGTCCAAGTGCTTAAGCAAAGTTGGATTCGAGGGTAGTCTGGTCGCTTCTTTTACCACTTCGCTGGGTTGACCTTAAGCATAGCAGGATGATAGTAAAGGCCCGAACTCCCTCCCATCTACCTTGAATTGACCTCGAAAATCCCCTGTTATACTTAGGACTGATAACATGTGGAGGGAAGGCATTATCTGGTTTATTTGCAGAGTGTGTGCCATCGTAGGCCTCCTAAAATCCATCGATATCTGTCTACCTCGATCTCGGCAAGGTGGCAAAATTCGACCAGTGTGAATGCTTTCTTTATAATTAGATGTCCAGTGTATGCTTGCTTCGTACTTTGAATACACCGGGGCCCCAAAATGCCTTCATTTTGCCAGGAACGTCCTGAGAAACCTGTTGCCCACGCAAACTTTTAGCTGCTACTGTACAGTCCTATACTAGTAAGTCTCCCAAAGCTGTCAGAACAAAAAATAATTCCCCTACCACTAACCTAGGGCTAATGGTTTGGCATGCTCAAAAGCTCTTCAATTTCTACATATCTGAATTCTTCCCATCCCAATGCACCAAAATCTTGGCTCTTGAGATCTGATGGAAAGAAAGTCTCATCCAAAACCTGGTTATCGCTGACCTTATGCTAGCTCGCTCGTCCTCAAACAAAGTAGAGTTTCCGATAACAAAAACTGCGCTATCCCACAGAAAGCGATAGTTCAACATATGCTTATGCATGTGTTAAACTAGGAAGGAAAGAAATGATTGCAAGATCACAATCATATCGATATATTCAATGTTGTTTTCAGTACAAGAATGTAAACATAGCTTTAGCATGGTTGGTGATTGTAGTCTCAGTCTCATAGTACGTAAACCCTGTATATGGCAGATAGATAGAAGAAAATTGGCGAAACACTTTGGTACAGCGTCAAATAAGCTTTTACAATGCTGGTTTACTCTACAGTCCAGTACTTCACATTATAATTCCATCTGAAAGTCAAATTTAGCAACTAGTCAGTAACTAGTTATAAACTATTCGTTCATTCCTCACTGCGAATGACTACAGATCCTTCCTCTACTATGTAACCCAATCCACTAGACTCAAGGCTCCAAGCAAGTCAAAACAAGTTCCAAAGTAGCTCAGGAGATGCAGAGTCCTATCAACGTGAAGAAAATGAACGAGGGGATACCATGATTCGTGGTGTTAGTTCGAAGGACAAGATGTTCCACAACAGTGTCGGAAGGGCTTAAGCCTGCGACTCTGATTGGTTAAGTGGCATTGGCTAGCAACCAGATCATTCGCCAGGAATAGGGTGTTTGTTTTGTGGCCTCTTTATAACTAGTTCGCAACTAGTTACTTCGTAAAAGCACTTGAGCTTACAAGGAGCCACTCACTGTCCTCAAACTAAAAGGTCATTGATTACCAACAATTGACGCAGCTCCAGTCAAACTACCACTAAAACAGCGATGCGCTAAAATTTAGCGCAATATAATTTACCTATCAATATGAATAGACAAACTTTGAGCCAAATCGGGCTGTCCACACCGTTGTATCTATACAACACCACATCGCAGCGTCTCACAAAACTCCCAACCGAGAACCAACATCGTTCAAAACATTTAAGAACACCACTATACATCCCTACTTTTGCGAATCAAAACAACTGACTTCATCCTAGCTCCGACTATCTCAAAACTAGGATGAACTCTCAAAACTAGGATGAACTCTCAAAACTAGGATGAACTCTCAAACCTATCATAATGAAAACCACAATGTTTAGCGATTAGATATCAATTAGCCAATGACAAAGAGATCTATAGGATAAACCAAGTATCGAGCCTTTTCACTGCCTAGACCTCCCTAAACACACGTGAGTAGAAGGACTAATCACCTCATGCATTCCCAAAACCTACTAGCAGACTTCTTCTCCCGAACCTACCCCGAAACAATCATAGTTTGATTTAGGATGGAATAAACGATGCTCACTCTACTACTGTATATCCAACGACAGCCTTTAGAAAACCAGACTCTCCCAGCACGTTGTCTTAAATGCGGGAAACAAGGAACTTTGCTTGCGTGTGAAACTATGGATACGAGGCTCCAGTTCATTTACATACACATACATACACCGCAGGTTCATGAGAGCTTTGGTGTCTGTCTCGGCTTGATAAGCTTTTGGTATCTATAGTACATTTACTAAGCAGTTATCGTGAAGATATAATTTCCTTAGTCCTGGTTCTGGTTTTAAAGACATTCTACTTCGTAGGAGATAATTCTGTTTAATATTTAATTCTACTACGGTACTCAGTTATCAGTACGGTATTCTGCCTTTACCTTATCATCATCCAACCCAAATCGAACTCAGCTAAAACACAAAAAAGCTTAATATCCATGCCCAAAACCTAAACATAGATCATGCACATACTTCGGTATTTCGCTGCCCAAAAGCCTTGTGCTGGAAAACTCGGTAAATTTACTTCTATAAATTGTTTGTTGGATAAGTAAGTCTTCTCACCTTTCTCACCAGAAAATCTTACTTCATGAGCAATTACTTCTAGATAATTTTGGTTGCTACTTCATATAGCCAGTGTTTCTGTTAGCGCAAAAATCTACTATAGTAATTATAATTCTAGATACAATATCAACGACGCATCGTGCTACTACAGTAGACCCCTACGGAGTCGCAATTAAGTTCCGACAAATCAAAACAGTCTTGTTTACCTTGTCAAACTACTTCTACCTAGGTGAGAACACAGATCAATCATATTTAGAAAAACTTCGTACTTCTACTTCGAACTATGATAGACCCATGAGAAACTCGTCACAAAAAGGACAAAGCTTCTCTATTCCCATAAATTCATAATTGCGATCATATACTCCCGTCTTTGTGGGGAAACATAATTTCAGGACGAGGAGGAAAGAGGAAGGTGGCCCATCTCTCATTTCTTGACTTGAAATTTAAAAAATTCGAAATGAGATAGGAGATAGGAAATAACGTCTACACAATAAAATACATAGCCTTATGAAAATTATGCTCCTGACAGTTAATGGTGTGATCCATCCCCACAAAGCCTTTCCAGCCACCAAAGGTCCCAAGCGAGGTTTGAGGTTCTTGTTTGAAGTAAACACATAGTGTGCCAAGAAATAAGGCATAGTCTATTGGTGTGCACCCTGGACGTCGATAGCATGTCTCGGCCCCGACTTTTTAGCGCTAACCAACGAATCAGAGACGTGGATCTAGGCATTATACAAGTCCACGGGTAGACTTTTCTCACATACGATCTACGAGACCGTGACAGGCGGCAACCCGACTTCCGAGCTGGCGGCCACCGTAAATTTACCCCCTTTAGAGTACTGTACAAGTAGAAGTTCGAGTTAAAGGGTCTGGACAGCTCGCGTCGCCCCCTCCCCTGTATACGACTTGTTATAGGCAGGGTATAACTCCACAGTATAGCCCTCTAAGCCAATTGAATTGTCCGATTCATGTGGAGGTATATCAGAAAGTGACAAGGGGGGGAGGGGGGAGACCCGAGCTGTCCAGATCCTTTACTTCAATAAGCTTGAAAAAAAAAAACACCCCCGCACTAGTGGGTTTGCTTGAATGTGAGTAACTCACGTTGCAAAGGGGCTGATACGGTAGGAAAGTAGGTATTGAAGAAAGATATAAAATGTATTTGTGTGTATAATCGGCAAATGGTATAATCATCATCTCTATCATTAAGTTGCCATAATCTTATGTTATGAACCCGCCCCCCGCCCCCCCC